CGTCTCCATCCCCATCCCCATCCCCATCCCCATCCCCATCCCCATTCCTATCCCCATCCCCATCCCCATCCCCATCCCCATCCCCATCCCCATCCCCATCCCCATCCCCATCCCCATTCCTATCCCCGTCTCCATCCCCATCCCCATCCCCATCCCCATCCCCATCCCCATCCCCATCCCCATCCCCATCCCCATCCCCATTCCTATCCCCGTCTCCATCCCCATCCCCATCCCCATCCCCATCCCCATCCCCATCCCCATCCCCATCCCCATCCCCATCCCCATTCCTATCCCCGTCTCCATCCCCATCCCCATCCCCATCCCCATCCCCATCCCCATCCCCATCCCCATCCCCATCCCCATCCCCATCCCCATCCCCATCCCCATTCCTATCCCCATCCCCATCCCCATCCCCATCCCCATCCCCATCCCCATCCCCATCCCCATCCCCATCCCCATCCCCATCCCCATCCCCATCCCCATCCCCATCCCCATCCCCATCCCCATCCCCATCCCCATCCCCATCCCCATCCCCATCCCCATCCCCATCCCCATCCCCATCCCTAATACACTCACACTCACATCTCCCCGCCATTTTCCTACCCACATCCTACACGCATATATCCCCACTGACCCACCATCGTCAGTCCCCACATAACGGACCTGTGACTCTTAACCCTGCCTGTGTTATCTTCTTCCTTCCTCCCCACTCCCTCCACCCCACTCCCTCCTTCCCACTCCCTCCACCCCACTCCCCTGCACCCCCTCCCTCCGCCCCACTCCCCTGCACCCCCTCCCTCCACCCCACTCCCCTGCACCCCCTGCCTTCCCTCCCATGCCCTCCACCCCAACAGATGCGGGCCCACCATCCCCTGCTGACCACCTGCGCAAGGTGTTTTACCGCATGGGCCTCGATGACAAGGTGAGTCATGGCATTGGTGTGATTGTAAGGCAGTGTGACTACAATGACGAGGGGATGTGAGGGCTAGGTGTTTCAACGCATGGGCCTAGCCCCAACAGATGCGGGCCCACCGTCCCCTGCTGACCACCTGCGCAAGGTGTTTTACCGCATGGGCCTTGACGGCAAGGTGAGCATACACTGGTGTGATTATACAGCACTGCGACAAGGTGAGTGAGAAGCCGTGTCATAATAAGGTGCAATGCAAGGTCCTAGACTTTGAATTCAGGATTCACCCATCTGTTGCCCCTCGACTTACATCATGCATGTCCGTTCCTTCCTTATGACAGGTCATTGCTGCCCTGTCTCGCGCACACACTTTGAATCTTAGGACTCGAGATTCACCTGTCTACCTTCCCCTCGAATCAACCATGCATGTCGTTCCCTCCTTCCTTATGGCAGGACATTGTTGCTCTATCTGGTGCACACACTCTGGTGCTCACGACATCCATCTTTGCCCGTCCCCCGCCTTATTCTCCCCATCCCTGCATTCCCCACCACAGGACATTGTTGCTCTGTCTGGCGCACACACTCTGGGCCGTGCTAGGCCGGAAAGGAGCGGGTGGGGCAAGGCAGAGACCAAGTACACGGTGAGTTGTGAGGCGCCTTCAAATCAAAGATAACGTTAGAAACGAAGGGTGCTGCTGGGTGTGCTGGTGCAGCTGGGTGTGCGGGCGGGTGTGCTGGTGGTGCTGGTTCTGCTGTTGGTGCTGGGTGTACGTTGGGTGGGGTAAGCAGAAAGTCGGCCAGAGAGGAGAGGAGCAGGTGCGGCACGGTGCAGACCGCAGCACCTTGCCTCACCATGCTCAGAGGTCTCTTGACAAGAGCGGGGGAGACCTTGCGTCACAGACGTGCTCCGTGCTACCATCGTCCTGGGACTTTTTGACACTGGTTGACATACACAGCTCGCACCATACTTTAAGGTGCCTTGCACTATGCTTTGGAACAGCATAGCAGGCTGGCACCAGCTGCCACTCTCAACTCCCCTCCTCTCCCCTCGGCCCCTCTCACGCGCTCCGCCGCCCCTCTCCCGCCTTCAATCACACCATCCTCTCCTCCCTTCCTCGCCCCCACCCCCTCTCCCTCTCCCCCCTGCAGAAGGACGGCCCTGGTGCACCTGGCGGCCAGTCCTGGACCGTGGAGTGGCTGCGATTCGACAACTCCTACTTCCGGGTGAGTGGATATTTCCCCCCCTCCCTCTACCCGCGTCCCATCCATATGCCCCCCTGGGCCTTTCAACACTCTGGCTTGGCTTAGAGGCGGCTTCCTCTGCTCTTCTTGGTGGCCAGTCCTGGACGGTGGAGTGGCTGCGATTCGACAACTCCTACTTCCGGGTGAGTGGAACCCCTTTTCTTTGCCTGTTGCCGCATCACCATTTCTGGGCTGACTCAAAACCTGCCTAGGCAACCTGCTCTGCTCAAAACCTGCTGCTGCTGCCCACACACGCAGAAAGAGAAGCACCCTTCTGGAGCTCAACCAAACGCTCAACCAACCCTCACCCCATTTTCTCCAAACCACCCAACCACACCCCCCCACCAACCAGGACATCAAGGAGAAGACAGACGTGGAGCTGCTGGTGCTGCCCACAGACGCCGCTCTGTTTGAGGACCCCGGCTTTAAGGTGTATGCAGAGAAGTACGCCGCAGCAGGGTCGTCACCTGGCTCAACTGACAGCTACTCTCCCATCTCCCTCCCCCCTCTCCCCCCTCCCCTCAGGACATCAAGGAGAAGACAGACGCGGAGCTGCTGGTGCTGCCCACAGACGCAGAGAGGCACTCTGCTGGGCCGAGCTGCTTAACCATACACTGCCCTCTTCCCATGCCCCCCGTTCGACTCCCCCCTCCTCCCCCCCAGGACATCAAGGAGAAGACAGACGCGGAGCTGCTGGTGCTGCCCACAGACGCCGCTCTGTTTGAGGACCCCGGCTTTAAGGTGTATGCAGAGAAGTACGCCGCTGACCAGGCGGCCTTCTTTGAGGACTACGCCCAGTCGCACAAGAAGCTCAGCGAGCTGGGAGCCAAGTTCGACCCGCCCCAGGTGAGGCGTTTTCCACACGTGAAGACACTCCCCTCCTGTGGGTGAGGTATCCACCTCAGGTGAGGGTTCAACTTTTCCCCTCGGTTAGCTATTCCTGCAGACCAGGCTGCTTTCTTTGCCGACTATGCCCAGTCGCACAAGAAGCTCAGCGAGCTGGGCGCCAAGTTCGACCCCCCCCAGGTGAGGCACTTTCCACACATACCGAACCTTCCCTTCCAGTAAGGCACCCCCTCAAGGTGTGGTGTTCCCTCAGGTTAAGACACACTCACAAACCAGGAGGCATTCTTTGAGGACTACGCCCAGTCGCACAAGAAGCTCAGCGAGCTGGGCGCCAAGTTCGACCCCCCCCAGGTGAGGCACTTTCCACACATACCGAACCTTCCCTTCCAGTAAGGCACCCCCTCAAGGTGTGGTGTTCCCTCAGGTTAAGACACACTCACAAACCAGGAGGCATTCTTTGAGGACTACGCCCAGTCGCACAAGAAGCTCAGCGAGCTGGGCGCCAAGTTCGACCCCCCCCAGGTGAGGCACTTTCCACACATACCGAACCTTCCCTTCCAGTAAGGCACCCCCTCAAGGTGTGGTGTTCCCTCAGGTTAAGACACACTCACAAACCAGGAGGCATTCTTTGAGGACTACGCCCAGTCGCACAAGAAGCTCAGCGAGCTGGCCGCCAAGTTCGACCCGCCGCAGGTGAGGCACTTTCCACACATACTGTACATTCCCCTCCGGTAAGGCACCCCCTCATGCTGTGGTGTTCCTTCAGATTAAGACATACCCACAGGCCAGGCGGCTTTCTTTGAGGACTATGCCCCAGTCGCACAAGAAGCTCAGCGAGCTGGGCGCCAAGTTCGACCCGCCCCAGGTGAGGCTTCTTTCCTCCAGGTGAGGTCTTCCCTCAAGTGAAGCATTCCCCCCTCGGGTCCCCAGACGAGGTTTTCCCTCATGTTACGCCAATGTTGCGGGCCAGGCTGCTTTCTTTGCCGACTATGCCCAGTCGCACAAGAAGCTCAGCGAGCTGGGTGCCAAGCTCGACCCGCCCCAGGTCAGGCCTCTTCACGAGTGAGCCATTACCCCTGGGCCCTAGGTAGGGTAATCCTGCGGGCCAGGCTGCGTTCTGGGTTAGCCATTACCCCTAGGTAAGGTATTCCACAGACCATGTTTGAACCTCCTCATGTGAAGCATTCCGAATTATGTTTTGCATCAGCTTTGGTTGTTAAATTATTTCCATCCTGGCTCCAATTGATCCCCTTGCGATGTGACCCTTTTGCTTCTTTGTGCATCCAGGGTGTGACCCTTGACTAAACTGGTGGCATGGGATTTGGTTAGTGTTTTGGTGTGAAGATTTGTATCAGAAATTGTGCTTGAATATACCGGTATACGGAGTGTTTTCAAAAAGCTGTACACCTAACCACCGCTATCTTCTTTCGGTCTATCTTCAACCCCCACGTGTGCAAAGGGGTATGAACCTTTTATATATTTTTTACAGAGGGTTGTGTCGATGATCATACGCTCGCAATAGGTTGCGCAACAGCAAACATGCTTCCCACGAACGGAAATTATCTTACACTCGCCCGACTGAAATTTCCAGCGTCCAGCATTTGACGTCATTCATAGCCCCCCATACCTAGGTTTCTAACTAAAAACCCCGAAAGTAGGGCAGAGAAAATATGAAAAGGCGGAAACAGTGCAAGGTCAGAAGTTGAAAGTAGCGGTGGTTAGGTGTAATCTGGTATAAAGTGGCTGTTAAAGTCGGCAAGCATCAAATGCGCACACAACAAGTGCTGGCGCTGCAATATCACTTATTAACAATAAGCACTTGCTGCTAAAAGCACTATCACTTGACCCACACCACGCCAACCAACCTCTCTATGTCTACAATTTCCAGTGAGCATCAACCAATCGGAAGAGTGCTGGCTGCTCACTTCCACCTGCTGACCAGAGCCACTCGCTGATAAACACAGATAATACAGTAATACAGTAATACAGTGACCCATTCCAGCCTCTATGTGTACAATCTCCGCGCTCGTTCCAAGGTGGAATCCACCAATCGAAACAGCTCTGGTTGCTCCAATTCCACCTGCTCCAATGACATCGCTTCATGTGCTTCCGCCTGCAGCGCACAGGGGGAAGGCAGGCAGTGGGGCATTGTATTGGAAAGTGGTATGGTGTGGAAGGGCAGGGATAGTGCAGTGCACGGTGAAAGGTGGAAAGCGCATGGATGCATGCGAAAGGGCTCGGGTGGTTGTAGCATGCAAAAAAAATCTTCAGAGCCTAGTGAAGAGCCTCAGCAATCCTAACCTTCAAAAAATGAACAGAGCTACGAGAGACGTGGCTGGATCTCTAAAACAGAACAAAATGCCTGATCGCGAGCAAGACTATCGCTGAAGCGATGTACGGCAAGCGCACCTCGTCGAATGTGAAGAGAACAAGATTGTCAATGGTGGGAGGCAGAGCCGCATTCCACCTGCCACACAGCCACAGTCACACAGGCACACAGCCACACAGCCTCACAGCCACACAGCCACACAGCCACACAGCCTCACAGCCACACAGCCACACAGCCACACAGCCTCACAGCCACACAGCCACCACACAGAGGCATGCAGGAAAAAAAAAAAGCTCCTAGGCGATGGCTTTTGCGGACCAGGTATGGGGAGGGCAGGAACAGACATCGCAAGGCCTGGACAGAAGTCACTTCAAAAAAGTGACTACGAAAGTGACCCCAAAAGTGGCGCCAACACACCTAGTGAGAGTCATGTGCCCCATGGATCGCCAGGTTGCAATCATTGTCAAAAGTGACCCCAGAAATGACCCCAGAAATGACCCCAGAAATGACCCCAGAAGAGATCCCAACACACCTGGTGAGAGTCATGTGTCCCATAGACTGCCAGATTGCTCGCCCTACATCCATCCCTCCTCCTCCTATTCCACCTCCTCCTCTCCCTCCTCCAATTCCAATTCTATCACTAGCAGCTTTCACTGCCCGTTTTCTACGCTCCCCCTTCTTCCTCTGCTGCTGCTGCTGTCCGCTCCTTCCCTGTTCCTGAGTCCCATTCTCCTTCTTCCCCTCCTCTCTCCCCTCCTCTACTCCTTGCTCCTCTGCCATTTGTCCATTTCCAAGTTTCTGCTCCCAAGTGCCCCCCTCACTTTCTCCTTGCTCCTGAGTGCCCCCCTCTTTCTCTCCCCTCTCTCTCTCCTCTCCCCCTGTCGTCGCCTCCTCCTCCTGTGATCCAACATCGGCCCCGCATTTGCCCGACTGGCTGTGAAGAAGCTTCTCGGCAGCTTCCTTCTCCCGGAGATGCTGCCACGCGCTGCGGCCGCGCCACACCTCCCTCACCACAAACATGACGTCATCCATGTCCACCTGTGCACGCATAGACACATGCACATGCACATACACATACACATGCACATGCACATGCACATACACATGCACATGCACATGCACATGCACATGCACATGCACATGCACATGCACATGCACATGCACATGCACATACACATGCACATGCACATGCACATGCACATGCACATACACATGCACATGCACATGTGCGCAGACGACTTTTGCGATGTCTCAAAAGTCACCTCCCTCACCACAAACATGACGTCATCCAAGTCCACCTGGCACACAGATAGGAATTTGGGCACATTTACATGCACGCACGTGCCCATGCACCTCCTGTTCTCCACCAGCCTCTGGCACAGCAGCAAGTAATGGCAACACACATACTCGCCCACACACACTCACACTCACATCAACTTCACTCTCTCCACCAGTCTCTGATGCAGCAGCGAGTAATGGTCTGCGCTCAGCCTCAACACACACACGCACGCCACACACACACGCACTCACCTCCACCTCTTGAGCTAACCCAAACTGCATCTCCTCCCTCTCCACCAGCCTCTGATGAAGCAGCGAGTAATGGCCTGCACTTGGCCGCAACACACGCGCTTGCACTCGCACGCACTGGCTGTTACACGTATCAACCCCTCCCACACACACGCTCACCTCCACCTCCGAACCAAACCGCATTTCCTCCCTCTCCACGATCCTCTGATGCAGCAGCGAGTAATGGTCTGCACTTAGCCACAACACCGGCTCAAACCCCATGCACACTGAAACCCACACATTCTCACATAAGCACACTCACCTCCACCTCTTGAGCCGAACCAAACCGCATCTCCTCCCTCTCCACCAACCGCTGATGCAGCAGCGAGTAATGGTCTGCACTTAACCGCAACACCGGCTCAAACCCCACGTCCATTCCGGCCAATGAGGTGACGACACGTGTCGCCAGCGCCAGGCCGAACATGGCTGGGATGGTTCCCAGGACGGGGATGACTCTTACACGAAACCCTGGGACCACCTGTAACGAGTATAAATAGATGGGGAATGGAGGGGAATTACAGTAAGTGTGTTTGTGAGTTCCTGCAATGCGTGCTATGGTAATGGCTCGTTTTATTTTAGATAAGTGTTAGAAAAGAAAGCAAAAAACTACAAAAAGAAACACACAAGTCCAGCACATTCTCAATAAAAATCACCAGCACCTGGGAAAGCACCTGGGAAAGCACCTGAAAAGCACCTGAACATCACCTGGAGGTCAGCAGGTTGCAAGGAATCGTCAGCAACGGGCAGCAGCTTGGCCTTGGGGCGATCTAGAGAAAACACCGCCTCCACTGCTGCTGCTGCCCCCAGCACTTTGATTGGAGGCACCTCAAACTTTCAGTATACCTGTAAGTCAGCAGGCTGCAGGGAGTCATCAGCAACAGGCAGCAGCTTGGCCTTGGGGCGATCCAAAGAAAACACCGCCTCCACTGCTGCTGCTGCCCCCAGTGCCTTGCGCAACCGCTGCCGCACCTGCACGGGTGGGTTGAATTGGATGGTGACGACTTGATGTATGCTTGAATATGTATGTGTGCCTATACATACATATATGCACATGATGGGATGTGTGAGTGGGTGGGTGGATGGAGCGGTAGTTGCCTCACCGCGCGCAAGAGACCCTCTCTCCATCGACCCTCCCTCTCGCGATGCCAGCGATGCGAATGCCAGTGGGGTCCGCCGAGCAAGAAAGGGTGCAGCAGGTGGGGGTTTGCGTGGGGAGGGGAGTGTACAGCTCGAGAGAGAGGGTCGATGGATGACTCGCTGATGTCAGCGATGCGGATGCGAGTGGGGTCGGCCCGAGCGCCGGCCCCCATGGCACTGATGACCGGCAGACCACGGCGCACACAGGCTGATAGCAAAGCCACCTGTGAGGAAGAGAGCGTGAAAAGAAGTTGTGTGTTAGGGGCCTGCCTTAACACAGCATGCAGCGGCTGCGGGACTAATTCAGCTTGACTTGCTTCCATTTGTTTCGATGTGATTTGATTTGATTCCCACCTTTGTGTCGATGTTGTCGATGCAGTCCACAACGTAGTCGGGCTGCCCGGACAAAACTTTCTCCTCGGTCTCCTCCGTGTACATGGCTGTCATCCCTTCCACTCGCGCTTCGGGCAGGATGCGAAGGAAGTGCTCCCTCATGCACTGCGCTTTAGAAATCCCCACGTCTGCCCGCGTGGCAACAGCATGGCGATTGAGTGAGGAGAGTGACACCTGTAAGAGTGGAGGACAGAACGGGGTGGGTGATTTGAAACCTCTGAACACAGGATAGGGAAAGCATACAAACAAATGGAGTATGATGAGTAAGAAAGTGGTTGTCACGCTAGGAATGAGTGAATGGTTGGATGCTACAGGACAAGGTATAAAGTGCAACCTGATCGACCTGAGTCAACGAGGTCAACGCAAGTCAACGCTGGTCAACAGTACCTGGTCAAAGTCAACGAGTCTCAGCCGGCCAACCCCGCATCTCAGCAGAGCAGCCGCAGCATGGCTGCCCACTCCCCCCAGCCCAACTACTACCACCAACACCACCCGGTCAATCCCAGTCAACTCAAGTCAACAGAGTCAATGGAGGCCAACAGGGTCAATGGAGGTCAACGGTACCTGGTCAAAGTCAACGAGTCTCAGTCTGCCAACCCCGCATCTCAGGAGAGCAGCAGCAGCATGGCTGCCTACCCCCCCCAGCCCCACCACCACCACAAACGCCCGGTGCACTGCCAACTGGCCGGGCAGACCAAACATTTGAATATTCCTGCCCGACAATAGGGACGCGTTGGGGGCAGGTGAAGCGCAGCCAGCGGGGAAGGTAAGCGGGGAGAAGGGTTGCAAAATCAGGGAGTTTTTTACTGACAGATGAATGAATCTGGATGAAGAAGTTGAGCTTAGATGATGGACCGAAAGAGCTGAGAAACAAGCTTGACAACGCCTATATTGAAGGGGCTTAAACCCATACCTGGTAAACTGTTCTACGATGATGTCATCATCAGCCGCTGCCAAGCTGGCAAGATCCTGGCCATCCAATCCGCCACTGCCACGTGTCTCGTCTTCACCAGAAGGTTCCTGACTGTTAGCACCGTGCTGCGACTCAGGAGCTGAGTCTGAATCAGGTGATTTTTCAGGTGGTTTCGGGTGCTGCTCGTGAAGCTGTTTCTCCTGGTGCGGCTGCTGCTGCTGCTGCTGCTGCTCCTGCCGATGATGATGCTGCTCTTGCTCCTCTGCTGCTGCAGATTGAAGCGAGGCCAGACCTGCATGGTCACCGTTATACCTGGACGGAAAGAAAGGAAGAGACGGGAAGGGAGGGAAAGAAAAGGCGAAAGGGAGTGGAGGGAGGACGGAAAGAAACGAAAGGAGGGAGTAAAAAAATGGGAAGGAGTATGACAGACGCGCGTGTCACCCATCGGTCCGCTGCCGAATGGGTTGTTATTTTTGAGAGTTCTGAAAGAATGGCGAGAGACGGGAGAGGTGAGATCCAAGAGACGGGATGCAACAAAGCCGCCTAGAATGCAGAAAATTACGCTTCTAGTCGGCTTCCGAAAATACCGAGAATTCAACATATTCCGAGAAAAGAAACAGGAATTCCAAAAAGAGACATCATATTCGACCATCAGTTAGCAAGCGCACCCTGTAGCGAAGCAGATACTAACGTGATTTCTTGCGGCTCGTCAGCAGAGTAGACGGAATAGAGCTTCCAAGCGCAAAGCGCGGCGCACGAGCCGGCAGCAGCTCCCAGAGCGAAGGTCGCCCACGGCGACCTAAAAATCTTCATGGCGAATAGCGAATTTCATACAAACGAGGACAACCCAGATGAGGAGGCCCCAGCCACATGCCGGAATGGACAGGGTCGCAGTAGGCGACTACGCGTAATGGGCGACGTTCGCTCAAAACAGTTCGACGTAATGGGCCACAGGACCGAGCAGCGAACGGGAAAAAGAAAAGCAGCAGCGTATTACGCTCGCGCCGCAATGGGAGTCGAGGGGATTCTGGTTGGAACAATAAATCGCAGTGGCGATTTCTTGTGCCGAGGCAAAACTGGCGAAAGCCTGAAAACAGGTGTGGAGGTGAGGGGTATCGATCCCCTTACCTATCGCATGCGAAGCGATCGCTCTACCATGTGAGCTACACCCCCATGTTGTGCTGAATAATGTAATATGTTCAATAATAATAAGCTCGATATGCACGAAAGGATCTTCTGACAACTCCAACGTTGCTTCGATTGAGTGAGCGACACGCACGTCCACTTCACAGTGAGCTCTCAAGGCTGGTCCCAACCCAACCCAAATATCCTCTTCTTGAAAGTACCTTGGGATTGGGGAAACACAGCAACGCTTGGTCACGCCTGTCACTTGTTGCGATCATCTCTCAACTCTGGGAACTTCGCAAAGGCAGACAGTTTCGCACTGGTTGAAGCTGGAACCTGGGGGATGTTATGAGCTGATTGGCCCGTGATAGTGCGAGATCGTGTGCCATGAAGTTATGCTGTGAGGGATGTTGTGTGAAAGAGATTCTGCAGTTTGGGACGATAAATCACGGTCGTTTTTAGTTAGCGGTTGTTAAATGCAGTAGTTGACGAAGAGCCAGCAGACTGGGAAGGGGTTAGCCTGTCGAGAGGAAGACTGATCTCGATTTGTCGCAAGTGGGGTGATCAACGTGTAGGACGAAGCTTTGAGACGTTCCGAAACTCGCGAAGTTGCATGATCGGCCCAGGATTCTTGCCGATCACAAAGGCAGCGGACGGCTTACAGAGATTGAAAGTTGAGGAGATAACGAGAGCAGACGGAAAGCCAACGCTGACGTAAACGGAACAGGCATCGCCAAGATGGCGGATGGCGGTCCCGTCGGATCAACGGCTAGCGATTGCGGTTTCTGGTGTCTGGTTACCAGTTGCCGGTTCGCCGAGGCTGTTTCGTCGCTGGCGAAGCCGAAAGAGGTGGTGCTGCGACCCAAAGAGGAGCAGGATCTGGTGGGATTCGGATGGCGAGAGATTCTGGGTCTGAAGGAGAAATCGTCAGGGAATGCTGAGCTTGCGGCTGAGACGCATCAGGTGAGCCGATGCGTGTATGGTTCCAACATTCTATGATGCTGCAAGCCAAGAAATTGCAGGATTTGGTGCAGTTTGGATGGCGGGAGATTCCGTGTGAATGAGAAGCCATTGGGGAATGCTGAGCTTGCTGCTGAGACGCATCAGGTGAACCGATGATTGTGTGTTTCCTCTGATGCGCAATCAAGGAGGAGCGGGAGAGGGCGGGGTGTGAGGCTCTTAGCCCAGTATGCTCACTTCCGCCCTACTGCTTTGCTTCCTGCCCACCCTCAGGTGTATTACGTCACGAATCGGGTGTGCGAGAGGGAGAGGGCGTGGTGTACGGCTCTTAGCCTCATGTACTCTCCCCCTGCCTCCTGCCATGCTCGTGTGCCATCCTCAGGTGTACTACGTCACGAATCGGGTGTGCGAGCGGGAGGACGAGAAGATGGGCAAGGTGTACGGCAAGCACATGGACAGTGGCCTGCACGTTGGCGTGGTGGATGTGAGTGATAAGTGGGTGTTATAGCTTGTTGTGAGTCGACTGTTATAGTGTACGATATCACTCACCTTGTTTGCAAAGATTAGAGGGAGGGAGGATGGGAGGATGGGCAAGGTGTACGGCACGCACATGGACAGTGGCCTGCATGTTGATGTGGTGGATGTGAGTGATTGTAAGATAGGTTGCTCTTCCATCCCCATGGTCAGTATCGGAGTGTACTGCTTGGCTTTGAAACAAAAGTTATCCCCTTATTTTGTGTTGTAATTGTAAGTGCAGGTGGACTGTCCTAACGGCAAGCCTCAGGTGAAGGCAGAGGGGCAGCTTGTAACGAGTATGGATGCAGAGGCGTTCAAGCAGCGACTGAGAGAGCATGTGGCTCGCGATGAGAACAAGGCAGTGCTCGTCTATGTGCATGGGTGGGTGTGCGCAGAAGGGATGTTCATGGGCATGTGCATGGTATGTGCATGGGTATGATTGGGCGTTCAAGCAGCGGCTGCTAGAGCACAAGAACATGGCAGTGCTTGTCTATGTGCATGGGTACGTATGTTGTGTGCATGGGTACAAATGTTATGTGCATGGGGATATGCATGGGTATGTGCATGGGTATGTATGTCCATGGATGTATGTGCATGGGTATGTATGTTCATGGATGTATGTGCATGGGTATGTGTGTGCATGGGTATGTGTGTGCACGGGTATGTGTGTGCTGTGCATAGTGTATGGTTACGGATATGTATATGGAAGGCGTATGGGTGTATGGGGTGCTTTCTTTCTGTAACAAAGTCGTATGTATGTCCATTTGCAAATCCTACAATATTTTCCTCCTTTTCGGCCTTACCCATTCCTCTCTGCACTTTGTGTGTTGTGTTGTGATTCGTGTGCTGTGGTTTTCCTCCCTGCAGTTGCTTCACTGATTTCAGCCGGGGCATGGGTTACGGAGCATTCATGCAGGTACCGACCTGAACCCTTCTCCACTTCAACCGCCCCACACTTAGCGTGTGTGTGGGCCTCACTAGTGCGGCCCCACAGTGAGGCCCCATTGTGTGATCCTCAGCCATCCTATGGTCGTGTACAGCTGGCCCACCCACGGTGGGGCGTCAGACAAGCTGAGAATGATTGCTCTGTGAGTCGAGTGTGTGATTTATGAGATTCTTCAAAAATCGTACACGTGGGGCGTCAGACAAGCTGAGAATGATTGCTCTGTGAGTCGAGTGTGTGATTTATGAGAATCTTCAAAAATCGTACACGTGGGGCGTCAGACAAGCTGGGGCTGACTGCCCTCACTGTGGGGTATCATGGCCATCATCCCTGTGTGTCAAGCGCATCATCCCTCCCTCCATGTGCCTTTCCCTCTTCTCTTGCATTTCCCATCTCTCTCCCAGCGAGGCCTGGATTTCAACGGACCCATGGTGGTGTACAGTTGGCCCACGGTGGGGCGGCTGCTGGGCTGGCTGTTGGTGGTGTATCTGTATCACTCTGAATTCAACTATGAACACCCGTCCTCTCCCTCCCTCCCTCCCTCCCTCCCAGCGTGGGCTGGATTTCAACGGACCCATGGTGGTGTACAGCTGGCCCACGGTGGGCGGCCGAGCTCCTACGGGTCAGTAATGACGTGCATCCTTCCTTTTCCTCCCCTCCTCACGTGCCCCCTTTCTTGTCTGCATCAGCGTGGTCTGGACTTCAACGGGCCCATGGTGGTGTACAGCTGGCCCACCGTGGGGCGGCTGCTGGGCTGGTCACTGATGTACCTGTATCACTATCATTTGAGTTCCCATCCAAACCCATCTCGCCTCTCTCCCCCCTTCCCAGCGAGGTCTCGACTTCAACGGACCCATGGTGGTGTACAGCTGGCCCACGGTGTGGTAACTGCAGGGCTAGAGTGATTCTAGTTTGCCTGTTTTTTCCCCGTCTCTCCCTCCCTCCCAGCGCGGCCTGGACTTCAGCGGACCCATGGTGGTGTACAGCTGGCCCACCGTGGGGCGGCCGTCCGTGTCGGTGGGGTTGGGGGTGATCAGCCTGTACCGCCAGGACGAGGTCACCTGCATGCAGGCCGCTCCCGACCTCAGGGTGAGTACACTCACTGTACATTTATGCAATATATATGTATGAATATGTGTATGTTTATGTATTATTAGGGGTGTTGGTGGGGTTGGGGGTGATCAGCCTGTACCGCCAGGACGAGGTCACCTGCATGCAGGCTGCCCCTGACCTCAGGGTAGGTACACTCAACATTGTACATTTTATATACAGACATGCATTTATGTACGTCTACATCTTATTAGTGGCCGTCCGTCCGTGTCGGTGGGGTTGGGGGTGATCAGCCTGTACCGCCAGGACGAGGTCACCTGCATGCAGGCCGCTCCCGACCTCAGGGTGAGTGGGATTCGTTATGTAGTTACGTTCAAACAGTATGGGTACACACATGCGCACAGTCTGCTCTGCGTCCTCCCATCCTATGCCTCTCCAAACCACAGGATCTTCTCCAGATGCTCTCAACCGAACTAGGAGCCAAGGCGGTGCATGTAATGGCGTACAGCATGGGCACGCGCACACATGCCCACCCATATTCCCCCTCCCCACCGCCCTTTCCCTTATCCCCCCTGCGCACAGGATCTGCTCCAGATGCTGTCTACTGAACTAGGAGCCAAATCGGTGGATGTGATGGCATACAGCATGGGTGCACGGACTTTATTGGAGGCCCTGCGCCTGTCGTCAGTCTCCCCGCCGCACCTGGACCCCTTCCATGCGCGCACCGGCGTCACCTCGCACATCTACTTCATGGGAGGGGGGAAAAAGACACTCTCTGAATGTGTGCTCATTACCCCCGCCTCCCTCCTTCCCTCCCCCCGTCCTCCCGCCGTCCTCCCCCTTCTCCTCTCCGGCTTCCTTCACATTGCCCACAGGATCTGCTGCAGATGCTCTCTCAAGAAGTGGGCGCCAAAGCGGTGCACGTGATGGCGTACAGCATGGGCGCGCGCACGCTCCTAGAGGCGCTTCGCCTGTCGTCAGTCTCCCCGCCGCACCTGGACCCCTTCCATGCGCGCACCGGCGTCACCTCCCACATCTACTTCATGGCTCCTGACGTCGCTGCTCATTCGTTCTCCTCAGTCATCCGAAAATTCAAGTTCCCGGGGATTGCCTGGGATGGGGAGAGTGAGGGAAAGAACGAAATTTCTCGAGGGGTTGCATGGGAAGGGGAGGCGGGGGAGAGAGAGATGTCTGCTGGGTGTGCGTTGGAAGCAGGGGCGGAGGAGGAAGAAACGGGCTGTGGAGTTCTGGATGTCAGCCCCCCTTTGACCTTTCTCCAGCAAGCCTCCGCACCTGCCTCTGCACCTTCCTCTCCACCTGCCTCTGCACCTTCCTTGGCACCTTCTCCTGCACCTCCCCCCGCACCTTCCTCTGCAGCGGCCTCTGCACCTTCCTCCGCACCTTCCTCCACACCTTCCTCCACCTACGACTTAGAAGCACGCAGTCATGACTCCATGATAGAGAGGATCGCAGACGTGTGGAACGTGGCTGGGGAAAACACGTCAGGCTGGGTGACTCTACGGCAGGCTTGGCAGGAGGTTCGGGAAAAGGGGCTGATGGAGGTTTGGAACGAGATATTCCACCTGCCAGGCCTTGAAGAACCTGGTGGCCATGCATCTGCCGAGGCTGTGCTGAGGCCTGTCGGCGCCAGGCCTGAGAGGTTTGGAGGTGCATCCGAAACTGTTTTTCGAACCAGAGAGGCAGGAGGTAACGAGGCTGAGCACAGGTCCGGAAGAAGTAGGTTTGGCAGTCCTTCTAACGCATCTGAAGGGCCTAATAAACATTTTCTCAAAGATTCGCACATGTCTGAAGCAGCTCAGGAATCAGCAGTGAGATTGGGAGGAGCATGCATGGATAGCTCGTGTGCTTCTAATGAAGGGGTGTGTGAGACAGGGAGATCCATGCCTGATAGTGCCAGGTGGCAAGAGAATCTTGCATCTAGACATTCAGATTCTGTGTCCAGCAGTGTAGATTCTGCGTCCAGCCAAGTGAACTCTAGCAGTGTAAGGAGAGCGGGCAGAGAAGGTGTAGGTTCAGGTAGAGCAGGGACAGCAGTTGCAGCAGCAGAAGCTCCGTTCCCTGGTGCAGAACGGCCAATGGAGTCAGCTGTTAGGCCGCTGCTATCAGCAGCATCAGCCGGAGGAGGAGCAAGAGGAGCAGCAGGTGCAGCAGTTGCAGCAGCAGAAATCAATGGAGCAAGAGGGACAGGAGCAGGAGAGCACAGCAGCTTACAGCCAGCAGTGCGGGAGAACGCGCACATACATCTGTTCACGGCTCGCAATGACATTGCTCTGCTGCTCTCCGAATTCATGGATGCCGGTATTCCCAAGGTAGGGCAAGCAAGAAGCACTTTGCTGGTCCTCCTTCCCTCCTCTTCTTCCGTCCTCCCTTCCTTCCCTCCTCCCACTAGTCCACGCTCAGGTGCGCGCAGGGCGAGAGGGTCTGATGATTTCCTCCTATGCTGCAGGCACAAAGCCTTTGATACAGTCGCTGTGAGCAGCCTGAACAGCGGGTTGCTCAGCACAGGGCACTTCAACGTCTTCCACCATCTCTTTCCATCCTTCCATCCTTCACCCCCGCCCCCGCCCCCTACCATACAGGTGCGTGCAGGGCGAGGGTCTGATGATTTCTTATTATGCTGCGGACACAATGCGTTCGACACGGTCGATGTCAGTGGCCTAAACAACGGGCTGCTGAGCACGGGGCACTTCTACCTCTTCAACCACATTGTGCGGCGAGACATGCGCCGCCCAGATGCTGGGATGTGAACAAATTTAGTGATGTGAAGCCATGCTCTGTGTTGTGTACCTCCTTTTCCTGTGCCACATATTGCCCTTATGCACAGGTTCGCACTGGCAGGGGATCAGACGACTTCCTCCTATGCTGTGGGCACAAGGCCTTTGACACGGTTGACGTCAGTGGGTTAAACAATGGGCTGCTGAGCACGGGGCACTTCTACCTCTTCCACCACATCGTGCACTTTCCTGTCCCCCTCCCTGTGCTCCCCTTGCTTGCAGGTGCGTGCAGGGCGAGGGTCTGACGACTTCCTCCTATGCTGTGGACACAAGGCGTTTGACACGGTAGACGTGAGCAGCCTGAACAGCGGGCTGCTGAGCACGGGGCACTTCTACCTCTTCCACCACATCGTGCGCCGCGAGATGCGCCGCCAGATGCTGGGACTCGGAGAGGGAGGTGGAGTGGCAGGGGGAGGAGTGGCAGGGGGAATTGGAGGGGCAGTGGCAGGGGAAGGCGAGGCAGGAGGAGGGGGAAGGGGTGCGGGGGAGGAGGCGTGGTGGAGAGAGCATGCGGAGTGGAATCAACACAAGTATGTGCGCCTCACTGCTTCCAGACCACCTGCTGCTGCTGGAAAATCGTCCAGCGGGCCTTCAGAACCTTCTGCTGCAGCTGCAACTGCTTCAATCCCTGCAGCACCATCTGCTGTACAATCTGCAGTACCATCCCCACCACACCCACCACAATCAGCATCAGCAGCACCACCTGCCTCGCCTCTTGAACCGTGCTCTGTGTCGTACACGCCACGCTCGCTCCTCTTTCCTTGGGCTCGAGCTGAACCCGCCACGCACAGCAGTAGCAGCAGTAGCGGCAGCGGCGGCGGCGGCAGCAGCAGCAGCACGCTCGGTTTGACACCCGCTAGGAGAAGCGGCCAGCTGTCCACCACTGCAAACCGCAACCCTTTGGTACGTACGCCTTTTGAGTCGACTCAAAAGTAACTGTAGCTCTCTCATGGTATGCACAACCACACTGCTGCTGGCTAAGGAACGAACGCACACGATTATCCTTTCTGCCCCATTTGTATCTCGTCTTCTGTTTGCTACTTTCTCTGTCTCCTTGATGGGGGCTTCGGTCTTTTCTGTTTGAAGTTGTTAACAATCCTGCTCTCAACCCTTCTTGAGCTGGCTCAAAAGTCATTTGTACCGAGCGGAATCGCAAGCCACCTCTTTTACACCGACTCAAGAAGTCACGTCGTTCGTACGTGTGGATGTCTACTCTTTCATGTGCCGCTTCCTTCCTCCTGCATGCAACACAATACCCCTTGCAGTTTGACTCGTCGTCACCACTCACCTGGGCGTGTCCGTAAGGTGTGTCTATAAGGCATCTATAAGGCGAGTAAAAAATTGACTCGTCCGTAAGGCGTGTGCAAAGCAAGCATTGAAGAGGAGCTAACGCGAATGGGGGCGTGCGGATAGTCTGCGACTTCTTTTGAAAATTTACTGTATAGTTTTAAATTTTCCAGTAAGCTTTTGTCGAGAAGCACTGAAGTCAAGTAAAGTCTTCGTTATTCATGTTGTCCAAACAGATTGTTAGGAGGTTTGGCTGCTCTGGTCTGCATGGGCTTTGTGAGCACTATTTTGTGCACTTACAGATGCATTACCCCTTTTTCATTGGTTTCCGTTGCACACACTGCAACACAACACATCAAGCTACCATATAGGATTCAGAGGCATACAAAACAACTTCGTAATAAACAGTGCCACATCCCTGGGCTTCTCATTAGGAAAAAAACTGCTGGAAAAAATAGTGTCATTCTCTGCATCGAAGTGCCTGTACAGTGTGGATGACTCAAGACATCCAGGTATCAGCTCAACACAGTGCTGGAGCTGAACCTGTACCGAAGCGTGCAATCAAGTTCGGAAACAAGCCCTTAAAAGGCAGCGTGGTGCAGTGGAACAAGGGAGGAATGTGGTGCTGGGGAGCGGCAGAGAGGGCACTCGGGTTTCTCGTTGCACCACTCTGCAATGCACCCCCTGGGAGGAGTGGAAAAGATGCATGGCGAGGAGGGAAAGAGAGATGGATTAGGATGTGGTGAAATCGAACAAGATTGGACAGGGAGCAGAGAGAGAGGTGTGAGGGAGGAGTGAGGAAGGAAGGAAAGATTGAGGAAGAAAAGGAGGAGAGAATGTGAGGCTTACCAGCAGAAGATGTGGCACTAGGGGTATTTTCGAGGCGCCGCAAAACACAATTCTGAGACGATTTTTTAGGCGCATTAAAAGGCGATTTGATTTTTGCCGCCTCGAAAGACGATTCTGGGACGATTTTTTTTTATGCCTCAGAAAAGAGGAGAAAATGTGAGGAGTATCAGCAGAAGATGTGGCCGCAGGGGTAAAATGAAGGTTGAGTGGTGGAGAGAAGAGTGGGAGAAGAGTGAGAAAGTGAGGAACGAAAGGGAGGAAGAAGAGCAGGAATAAAGCGTTACCAACAAAAGAGGAGGGGATGAGGGGCATACCAGCAAAAGATGTGACCGCAGGGGCAGCAGGTGGGGTGGGAGCGAGCGGCAAGGCACAGGGAGCACCGACCACTCGCCTCACTTTCCCTGTCCGCCTCCCCCTCAGCCTCTTGTGACGTCTCTTCCCCTTCGCCCCACCCCTTGCTGGAATTAGCTGGAGTATCAGCCGCTGTTTGTGGGGCGGAAGAGAGAAGAAGAGGGGCGGAGAAGAGAGGGGGGTGAATGTCGCGCTTTTGAGTCGACTTAAAAAATGAGACGTCTCCTCTTCTGCCCCACCCCTTGCTGGAATTACCTGGAGTATCAGCCGCTGTTTGTGGGGCGGAAGAGAGAAGAAGATGGGCGGAGAAGGGAAGGGGTTGAATGTCGCGGGCAGCGAGGAGTAGAACATGTTCAGTGGTACTTTTTTTAAGATGTATTTCAGGCAAGTAGAAACAGACAATGTCAGGTCGTACACGGGTGCCGTGCAGTACCGAGCTTGGGGTTTGCGATGTTAGAAAACGCTTTTGAGGCGCCTCAAAAGTTGGAGTTCGCGCCTCAAAAGTTGGAGTTTGCGCCTCAAAAGTTGGAGTTTGCGCCTCAAAAGTAGGAGTTTGCGCCTCAAAAGTTGGAATTTGCGCCTCAAAAGTTGGAGTTTGCGCCTCAAAAGTTGGAGTTTGCGCCTCAAAAGTTGGAGTTTGCGCCTCAAAAGTTGGAGTTTGCGCCTCAAAAGTTGGAGTTTGCGCCTCAAAAGTTGGAGTTTGCGCCTCAAAAGTTGGAGTTTGCGCCTCAAAAGTTGGAGTTTGCGCCTCAAAAGTTGGAGTTTGCGCCTCAAAAGTTGGAGTTTGCGCCTCAAAAGTTGGAGTGTGCGCCTCAAAAGTTGGAGTTTGCGTTGATCACCTCGCCTGTGTCTCGGGACTCACCTGTGGCTGTTAGTGGTAGGGGATGTGCCAGGGATCTTTGTTGCAGCAGAGAACGGCGCAGCCAATCAGAGGAGAGGATGGCAAGCTGAATGAAGAGGAAGAATGCGAGCATGTGGTACCTGCCGTGGGTGGGAATGGGGGATGGCATGGGGGGGCATGGGGGGGCATGGGTGAAGGATATGTGCCAAGTGCGTTTGGGGGGGATGCCGGTGGGATGGGAGGATTGCGAGCTGAATGAAGAGGAAGAATGCGAGCATGTGGTACCTGCATTGAGTGGGATGGGATGGGATGGGATGGGATGGGATGGGATGGGATGGGATGGGATGGGATGGGATGGGATGGGATGGGATGGGATGGGATGAGATGGAGGGGCATGGGTGAAGGATATGTGCCAGGTACTCTCTTGGCTACATGCAGATACGATACGACTAATGCCAGTAGAAGAGCACCAGATGCTTCGCAATGGTTAACCACATTTGAAACGTTACCTGAATGTTCATAGCACAAACCTGGGGGAATAAGCGGGTGGCTGTGCCGTGAAGATGTATCGCACCCCTGTCACTCTCTTAGCTACATGCAGATAAGCCCCGTGCCAGTAGAAGAGCACCAGATGCTTCGCAATGGTTAACCACATTTGAAACGTTACCTGAATGTTCATAGCACAAACCTGGGGGAATAAGCGGGTGGCTGTGCCGTGAAGATGTATCGCACCCCTGTCACTCTCTTAGCTACATGCAGATAAGCCCCGTGCCAGTAGAAGAGCACCAGATGCGCCCTCCCCAGCAGCATCAGAGTGGTAACCTTGAGGGCTCTCAAGCTCTCACAAAACAACAGCAGAAGTCAAACCTGGGAGACTACGCGGGTGGTTGGGCCGTGTAGATGTATCGAACTCCTGTTACTCTCTTAGCTACATGCAGGTACGCCCCGTGCCAGTAGAAGAGCAGCAGATGCAGCAGATGCAGCAGATGCAGCAGATTCGTTGGTACTCCTTTTTCTGCCACGGCAATAACACGCACCTGGGGGAATAGGCGGGTGGCTGGGCTGTGTAGATGTATCGAACTCCTGTTACTCTCTTAGCTACATGCAGATAAGCCCCGTGCCAGTAGAAGAGCAGCAGATGCAGCAGATGCAGCAGATTCGTTGGTACTCCTTTTTCTGCCACGGCAATAACACGCACCTGGGGGAATAGGCGGGTGGCTGGGCTGTGTAGATGTATCGAACTCCTGTTACTCTCTTAGCTACATGCAGATAAGCCCCGTGCCAGTAGAAGAGCAGCAGATGCGCCCTCCCCAGCAGCATCAGCACATCCCCCCCTCGCGCTGCCACCCCCGCCCACACCACCAGCGCCCTCCTCCCCACCTCCCTCACTCGCTCCCTCACTCGCTCCCTCACACGGCCCACCCAGTGCCACCCTGCCGCCACAGCTGCCACCCATCCCAACCCCCTCCCACCGCTCACACGTGCTGCTTCCAAGCCTCCTCCCTCTATTGAACCCCCCTCTATTGCGCTCTCCTCTCTCCCCCTAAGGCTGGATGTGTGGCTGTGACGTGCCCCTTCCGCCCCTGCAAGTGTCGTCCCATCGCCGCTTCCTCCTGCTCCCCCTCTCCCCCCTCCGCCTGTTGTCCCCCGTGTGCCCCCTTCCCCTACTCCTCCCTCCCCCACTCCCCCCTCCCCTGCTGCTGCAATCGCCCTTCCCCTGGCAGCAGCGCGGGCGCTGATGTGAGCCGCTACAGCCGGGAGGAGGGAGTGCAGCAGCACAAGGGAGAGGCGCCGGGCCGGGGTGGGGGGGAGATTGTAGCGGCCTGATACCTGATGACAGGGGGGAAGGATGTGAAAAAGGGGCAGTGCAGGAGCTGATGTGAGCCGCTACAGCTGGGAGCAGCGCGTGCAGCAGCACGAGGGAGAGGTGGCGAGCTGGGGTGGGGGGCAGGTTGTTGTAGCTGCCAGACGCCTGGAGTGGGGGATGGGTATGTGTGGAAAAGAGGGGTGGGTTGACGTAGAGAGGTAGAGAGGAGGGAGAGATGGGCGCTGATGTGAGCCTTCTACAGCTGGGAGCAGCGCATGCAGCAGCACGAGAGAGAGGTGGCAGGCAGGGGTGGGGGGCAGGTTGTAACGGCCTGACGCTTGGGAATGGGGGAGGGATGTGGAAGAGAGGGGTGAGTGGAGGTGGAGAGGGGAGAGATGGGCGCTGCGCTGATATGAGCCGCCGCTACAGCAGGGAGCAGGGAGTGCAGCGGCACAAGAGAGAGGCGGCACGCTGGTGTGGGGGGGGATTCTTGCAAAGAGGCACTATGGAAAGGGAGGGGGAATACCTGCACTATGTCGCAATGCTGCTTTCCCCTAGAGCCCTGCCGCCGGTGTGTGAGGGGAGGGGGGTGGCGGAAACACAATGATGCGTACTACCAGGACACTCATTACCTGCAAAGAGGCAGGGAACACTAGGAAGGGAGGGGGAATACCTGCACTATGTCGCAACACTGCTTTCCCCTAGACTCCTGCTGCGGGTGTGAGGGGGAACACGATAATAAGCACTGCCAGAATAGTTCCTACCAAGGGAAGGGAAGAATACCAAGGGGAGGGAAGAATACCAAGGGGAGGGAAGAATACCAAGGGGAGGGAAGAATACCAAGGGGAGGGAAGAATACCAAGGGGAGGGAAGAATACCTGCACTATGTCGCAATACTCCTCGCCTAGAGTCCTGCTGCCGGCGCCGGTGGTCACGATGTAATAAAGGCACCGCGCCGCCACGCGGATCGGGCCGCCCCATTGGCCCGCGACGCGGTGGCCGAGCTGCGAGCCAATCGCGTCGTGACACATGTCGCCCAGCGACGCCGCGTACAGTTCGTCCTTCTCCGCGGCGCGCATCACCTCCGGCTGCGCCGCTGGCGGAAACTGCACCCCTGGGGAAGCCGCCGGCGGAAACTGCGCGCCAGCGGAAGCCGCAGGCGAGACATAAGACCGCCTACTGCTGAAGTTATGCGCCGCCGACGCAGGCATGAATGAGCTTTCTCGCTCGTAGCTTCTTGCGGCGACGCAAAAGGGAGATTATTACGGCAACCTGGAAAATTATTGCGTGCTCGAATCCGTCTACACGTAAATTGAGACTCGAAAAAGTAGCCGCGTCGGCTGCTGTAGCAGGTATTCGGCGGACCTAGTTATATGGAAACCTCGGCATTTTAAAGTTTTAGATTGCATTCCCCGTTCAGACACCATCCGAAGTTTGGACACCTGTAGCGGTTTTTGAATGCTGTAAGCCTACTCCCCCTGTTTTAATCTGACCTAGACAACAGCCTACAAATTTTTGTTGGATTGAGAAATACCGTGCGAACTTCTTCACACTGTGAGTACACTCTACGCTACATGTGTCAGTGAGTGTGAGGGAACACAGTGGACCCCGTCCACCCAACAAATACTTCGAGACTCGGTTACTTCTGGGAAGTTGGGTTCGCTTATCCATGAGCCTTTAAAACTACGAGGTAACTCTAGATTAAGACCTTCATTCGGAAACAAATAAAATAACAGCTCAAAGTGTCCGAACTTCGGATGGTGTCCGAACGGGGAATGCAATCTTAGTTTCCTAAACAGCATCCCGTTTGATCTCTGCTTCTCTCCCTAAACATAACCTTCGCGAGTACAAACCCAGGCCGAGGGCTACGGACCAGTTCGGTTCGGCCAAAAAATACCGCCCCAAACCGCACCAGAGTCGCTCAGCACCAATCGCTACCCTTCCGAGCCATCTTCTCCCGAACCGGCCTAGGTAGGGTTTGCCCCACTAGATTCAGTCACTTTCATTGTATCATCAGTCCTTTCAATCACGGCCTAGATATTAGTTTACTTTATGCACTCTGTAACTTCATTCATAGCAAGTGCATAGTTTGCGTGAAGACAAGGCTCTTAGTGTACATGAAAACACTGCTCATAGGGTGCACGTGCTAGGGACGGGTCCCCTCCCACCCAAACCTGCGATAAAACCTGCACAGGTCTGTTTTTTTTTTTTTTTTCCCCGGCGTTTGAAAAGGTTCCGGTAGTTTTGAATGTAGCAAACAGAGTTGTAGTGCGGTGAAAATTCGTTTTCGCCCGAAGGTCGCAGGTTCGGGGTGTGGTTAGGGGAGCGTCCTGAGGCAGTCCCTAGACGCCTTGTGATTGGTTGGGCTTCAGTACCTCCCCTCCCCTCACCTGGACTGAACGCAAGCAACTTGGAAACCAGCACAACGTTTTTCGCCCATGCAACCTCATGCCAAACTAATGGTTTCCCTTCAGTAATTCAAGTACAGTAAGCTCAAGAGTTTTGCTGGACTCAGTGAAAGTACTGCACATAAAAAAAATGGTGCTTCTCGTGGTTTTGTGAAGAATGACGTAAGTGCTAGCGCTGTTTGTTCGACCCTCCTCCACCGTCCAAATTTAAAGTACGATGTCACTTTGCCTGGATTCTCAACAATAACTTAAATAAATATGTAACGCTGGGGGCTTGGGTGTGTGGCTCATGCTCGCGTTGTCAGATTTTGTTTGCCCTGGGAAGTGGTCAAATACTGTACATATAACCCTCCCTGACAGTTATGGGTTAACAGCGCATCACAGATTCTCGTTTAGCGAATTGGCAGACAAAGACAACCCTGCACATAGGTGCCTTGAAGCATCAGTTTCCATTCTAGCAAGCACGAACGACGGACGGACGCCATGGTTTCGTGTTTCGATGGTCCAGCAAACAGCTCGGCAATAGGTGCACACTGGTTGTCATTACTCGACTCAGCTTTAGAATGGTTTCCGAAATCCTCCCGACTAGATCCATCCATTCGTTCTTTCTGTCCTCGCGACCTGGCGTCGAGCAAACTGCACGGTGGTCTTGATAGTACTGTACATACATACCGTATGAGTGGTGACCAGCACATGGAATGGGATGGGATGCTTTTGATCAGCTGAGCATTTACAGTATTTTTAGAATGCCCCAGAGAGTGTATCACCATGTGGTGGTGGAGCCTGAGGTCGTGTCCGTAGGGATGACATGTCAAGCTTTTGAGTGTCAACTTGTGATTTTGACACTTGCCAACATTGTTGGCAGAGTGTCAACGACACCAAACTGCCAGCCTGTAAATTTCGCCGGACTTCCAGCTCTGCGAAAATAAAGGAACTAACCAACCAACCACATTGATGGCATCGAGATTTCCGACGACCACACCTGCCTAATCGACGGATGCTGAACTTCGTGCGACTGCAAGTTCGTGCAAGGGGTCGCCTGTGTACTCAAACTCGTGCCCAACCAATAAGCTTCCGTCGCAGGGTTCCTTGCTGCGCTTCGATTTGACACTGAAGCTTCAGTTCTTGACACTCTAATACCTCGCGCTTTGGGTTGACACTGCCAATGTTGACATGTCATCCCTACGGACACGAACTGAGGAGAGGATGGCTACTTCGAGCCATTCTCGGGGCCCGCGAAAAGTTGTGTTTCTCGTCCCCGTGGGTTACAAGCGACACGATTAGACGCCGACTATATTTTCCAGAGCACGACTCGGGTCCGGTAGAATTGCAAAGCTTCGTCGATCCCTTCCTTGTTCCGAACCTTCGTCGAGAGCTTGCAATATAGTTTTCTCGTGATGTCGTATACAGCACCGTGCTGACAGCGAACCGTTCCTAAATGCAGCAGACAAGTCCTCCAAAGTGGCTTCTACAACGGCGTCGCGTGGGGGTGTTGCGCGCAAACGTAGGCGGCGCAGTCGCAAGATCACTCCTCCCTCGCTTCCCCCTCGACATAGTAGCGCGACTGTCGATTCAAATGCCTATTTCACTCCGTGATTTTCGTAGAGGACTCTGAGTCGGATCCCCACAGGAAAAGTGTCACTCTCGCTCTCAAGATCAAATTGGTCGCATTGTTAGCATTCATAGCGCGATTTTTGAGACGTCTCAAAAACTGAGTCGGATTCCCACAGGAGAAGTGTCACTCTCGCTCTCAAGATCGGATCGAATTGGTCGCTTTGTTAGCATTCAAAGTGCGAGGCGCGGACGTTTAAGTCATCATCCTCGTCGCACCGCCGTCACGATGGCGCGGATGCTCGATCCCGAGTCGCCGCCTTAACTCCCTCCGAGGAAAAGCGGCGTTTTTATCAGAGAAATCTCTCCTTTTGAAGCTTCTATCGTCCTCATGATGCGTGCAGGCGGCAGAGCGACTCGGAGATGACTTTCGAGTCGACTCGAACATACAGCCTTGCGAGGAAATATCTCTCTCATTTTTAAGCTTCTATCGTCCTCATGGTGCGAGCTCTAGGCAGAGCGGCGTCACCGCACGGCGCCGCGAAGGCTTCATCAAGCACCAGCATCCTCCCGCTAATCGCCGCCGGCCACATGTCCTCCATCTGGCACGACATCATCCTCATCCCGCCTGCCCCCGCCGGTGCGCCTGCGCGTCCCCATTCCCCATCTGGAATCTCCTCGCGGCGCCCTAATCATCATCATCGTCGCAATCATCACCATGATGATGATTCTGTGCCGGCGGCGCCGGCTGTGGCGGCGGGTCTCTCGACCTCCACTTTCACGTTCGTCTGCCGCTCCGCCGCTTCCCGTTCCGCCGAGTCGCCCTCTGTCGTCCCCGGCGACGGCGGCGGCGGGAGGCGGCGGAAGGACGACCCTCTGCAAAAGGTGACGTTCAGCGAAAAGCGGAAAGTATTGGCGCTGGACGGCAGTCTTAAAGTGCAAACCGTCCCGCCGTCGTCATCCTCAAAGTCCGAATCGGCCGAGTCGCCCGATTCGGCCGAGTCGCTGCTGCTCGCGGCGCCGTGGAATATGGGCATCCTGCCGCAGACGTGCGTTCTCGCGCCGCGATCCATGTCGATGTTCTTCCACTGGGGTGTTGACGAAGATCCCGCTGAAGCGAAGGAAAGAGAACGCAGAAATGCTCTTATCGGGGATAACGATGATGATGGTTTGGGTGGTGGGGATTCTGTGAAGGATTTTAAGGATTCGCTTGTAACGGCGTGCGACAACTCGCCGCTCGAAGCGCTGGAGATTGGGTCGCAGGCGCGCGAACCTGGCGACGTGTACGACGTTTTGCCGCTGCTGGCGATGCCCTTGCGACTGATGGGGGCGGAGCGAAACAGCATGCCGATTTCGTGGAGGATTGTAACCATCGCAGCGGACGACGAGCTCGTGACAAGCGGGAAGCTAAAAACTTTTATCCGCAGCCGATTGGACGAAGTGCGAGATTGGGCAGAAAAAACAGAGTTTTACAGCGAAATAGCTGGAGCAGGTACAACCTTCCCCAGAAAACACCGTCCACCCTCTTCAAACCTCACCAACCCTAATTTACCATCTCAACACCACCCTAACTCGCGTCCATTTTCTGTGTGTCTTTTTTTGTTCTCTCATGGTCCTTCCTTTTGTTGACATCCCAATCATTTGCTTGTCTTTCTTCTTCCCAGCTATATATCGACACTGCTTTTAATTTATTTTTTCTTCCTTCGTCTCTGTTACACGTGGCGTACAGGTCGAGCTGTCAACAAATGCGCCAAACTTATCCCGTCTTTCTCATTCGTCGAGAGGCGTCCCGCCGCCGGCGCATCGGTTTCGGGGGAGCGCGGAGACTCCAGAGCGGGTTCCGCGGAAGACGGGGGGAAGCAGGCGGAGCAGGAACCTGAAGCGGAGGAATGCATTTGGGAAGCCAAGAACACGTGGACGAATAAAAAAGCCAAGAAACGGATAGATCCCGCCGCGCAGAGAGCCGCGCAAGCGGCGGCGGAAGCTGCGCAAGCGGCGGCGCACGCAGCGGCGCAAGCAGCAGCGGAGGCGGCGGCGGAAGCGGAGCGCACGATTCGCTACGCGCACCGCACGTGGCGGATCCTCTGCCACTCGCTGCGCCGCCCCGTGCTGCGGCGCATCGCGCATGTACAGGAGAGCCTTGGGCGGGATCGCGCGGAGGCGGCGGAAGCGGCTGTTAGAGGGCTGGAGGGGGGCAGAGGAAGAGACGCGGAAGCGCAGGGGGAGAAGGGGCATGGGCATGGGCATGGAAATGGGCATGGGCATGGGCATGGGCATTGGAATTTGCATTTGCATTGGCCTAAGCATGGGCATGGGCATGGGCATGGGCATGGGCACGGGCATGGGCAGGGGGAGGAGGAGGAGAAGCAGGAGCGGAAATCACCAAAGAGCGTGACTTTTGCTGCTGCTGTTGGGGAGTCCCCCGGGAAGCAGCCTCACTCGCACGACGGGGGCGGTGTGGGGGGCAGCAGCAGTGGCAGCAGCAAGGGCGCGCCTGTTGCTGCTGCTGCTGCGTTCTCGGCCGCGTTTAAGACTGCTTCTGCTGCCTCCACCCACAACTGGCCTCGCAAGCACGCGCAGGCGAACGCACACGCGCTCACGCTCACGCACGCACTCCCACTCACGCTCGCGCACCCACGGCCGTCGTCGTCAGCGGCTCTCACTGCTGCGGCCGCTGCTGTTGCTGGTACTGATGAGTCTCCGCAGGAGCAGGCTCACACGCAGGAGGCTCATAGCGAGTCTCATAACGAGTCTCATAAGGAGTCCCATAACGAGTCCCATAAGGAGTCCCATAACGAGTTAGAGAAAGTGTCCCATGCGGAGCCTCAAAAGGAGTCTCATAAAGACTCTCGTGTGGAGTCCCTTAACGAGTCACACAAGTGGCTTCACAATGAGTCGCATGCGAATTCTCCTCGCCACGAGTCGCACAAGTGGGTTCATAAGCATTCACAAAAAGAGCCTCACGAAGACTCTCCTCATTCTCCTCATCACGAGTCACACAGGTGGTTTCAAAAGCATCATTCGCATAGGGACTCTCATGCCGATTCTCCTCATTCTCATTCTCATCAAGAGTCCCACAGGTGGTTTCAAAAGCATCATTCTCACGAGTCTCATGCCGATTCTCCTCATTCTCATTCTCATCAAGAGTCCCACAGGTGGTTTCAAAAGCATCATTCTCACGAGTCTCATGCCGATTCTCCTCATTCTCATTCCCATCACGAGTCACATAGGTGGTTTCAAAAGCATTCGCATAAGGACGCTCCAGACGAGCCTCATAACGAGTCTCGAAAGTGGTCTCATAAGGAGTCTTATAAGGAGTCTTTTAAGGAGGGCCCAAAGCACCACCACCTATTCAAGCAAATCCATCACTCCTCCTCCGCGGCGGACCTCCGAAACCCCACCAGCAGCAGAATCACCAGCAGCAGCAGCAGAATCACCAGCAGCAGCAGCAGCGCCGCGTTGAGATTAATCGCTCCTCCTGAAAGCTATGGCCTTCCGGGTCTCATCACCCCTAGAGGCGGAGACGGCCTGGGCGGGAGCGGAGGAAGGGGCGGGCGACGAGGGGAAAGAGGAGGAGAAAGAGGAGGGGGGGAGGTTCGTGGGGTGAGAGGAGCAGTGTTCTCAGGCAAAGACAGAGGCACAGCTGCACGGATCTCACTGAACTTGCGTCTGTGGAGGAGGGCGAGCAGCATGATTGGTTGAACAGCCCAGGTCTCGCTGGTTTCAAGGAGTATTTAACTGGCTCACCTGTAGGGGGGTCGCTGCATGGGACTGGTAGAAGAAGCGGGCTCAGAGTTTCCATGGGGGAGAGACTGGGGGGATACGAGGGGTATGAGAGGCATGAGAGATGTGAGAAGCATGAGAAGCATGAGTGGTTGCGCAGTCCGTCTGCTGGTCAGGGGATACTCATTGCTGCTCGAGAGGCTGTGGAGGGGGCGAAGGGCGTGGCTGATAAGGTAGCAGGCGTTGCTGCTAAACGCATTGCTGTGGCTGGGGCTGTAGCGGGGACGGTAGCGGGGACGGTGGCAGGGACTGTAGCGGGGACAGCTGAGCATGTGGCTGGGAATGTGGCAGGGGCGGCAGGAGTAGTGGTGGGGAGAGTGACTGGCGCGGCAGGCGTGGTGGGAGGTTCGGTGACCGGGGCTGCTGGTAAGGTAGCCGGGGCTGCAGGTACGGTAGCAGGTACGGTTGCCGGGGCTGCAGGTACGGTAGCGGGTACAGTAGCTGGGGCCGCAGGTACGGTAGCAGGCACGGTAGCTGGGGCTGCAGGTACGGTAGCAGGCACGGTAGCTGGGGCTGCGGGTACGGTAGCAGGCACGGTAGCCGGAGCTGCAGGTTCGGTAGCAGGCACGGTGGCGAGTTTACCCAGAGAGGCAGTAGGGGTTGTGTCTCGCAGGGTGCGGAATATAGGTGCAGGGGGAAAGGCGACGAGTGCGCGCGTGCGCAGGGGAGCGGAGGCTCGGATCGAAGCTGCACAGAGCACAGTGAAATCAGTGAGTGCGAGGGTGCAACGGGGCGCCGGGGCAAGCTTCGGAGTGGCTCGGCATGCTGTGGAGGAGAGGCTCGGATTGGGTCGGCATGGTTCGGAGGAGAGGCTCGGGATGGGTCGGAACGGTTCGGAGGAGAGTCTGGGGATGAGCCGGCATGGTTCGGAAGAGAGGCTCGGGATGGGTCGGCATGGTTCGGAAGAGAGGCTCGGGATGGGTCGGCATGGTTCAGAAGAGAGGCTCGGGATGAGCCGGCATGGTTCGGAGGGGATGCTCGGGGCGGATTGGCATGGTGCGGAGGGTGGGAGTGCAGTGTTTGAGCTGTTTGGAATGGTTGGTGAGAGTAGTTCGGAGGGAGGGAATGAAGCACTAGAGTCGTTTGGAAGGGTTGGTGAAGCTGCTTCTGAGGGTGGGAGTGTGGTGCTAGAGTCGTTTGAAAGGGCGGTTGAAGATGGTTCGGAGGGTGAGAGTGCGGTGCTGGAATCGTTTGAAAGGGTAGGTGCAGCTGGTTCGGAGATTGGGAGTGTGCGAAAGATGCCACAAACAGAGACAAATTCTTGCGGAGAGGTGAGATCTGGTGCAGAGGCGATTGAAGTGGTTCAAAGCGGTGTGGAGGAGTCTAGTTGTGTGAGAGGAGGATCAGGGGCGCATTCGGACTTGGAGGCATCTCAGAGGAGTGAGGGTGCAGCGAATAGTGAGTCGCCTGAACGACAGGTGGAGATCACAAGTAGGGGAGTGCAGAGCGGTGCAGAGGAATGTAGCAGTGTGAGAGTGGGGTGTGGAGGCTCAGGGGCGCATTCAGGTCTGGAGCTGTCTCAGCGGAGTGAGGGTGTCGCGAGTAATGAGTCGCCTGAAAGAGAGGTGGAGAGCGGGAGCGGGGGAGTGCAGAGCGGTGTGGAGGATTCTACGAGTGTGGGAGATTTGAGAGAAGGATCAGGGGCGCATTCTAATCTGGATGCATCTCAGCGGAGTGAGGGTGCAGCAGGTAGAGATTCGCCAGAACGCGAGGTGGAGAGAGAGAGCGGGGGAGTGCAGAGCGGTGCAGAGGCGTATTCTGAGGCACCTGGGAACGAGGCGAGGAGTGGGAGTGGCAGAGTGGGGGGAGGGGGGGCAAGAGAACACGAGGAAATTTTAGGGCAACCAGCGGGCAGTTCGAAGCAACACGAAGAAAGTCTGAAGCAGCGCGAGGAAAGTTTGAGGCAACATGAAGAGATTCTTGAGGCAACTTCCGAGGAAAGCCTGAGGCAGCGCGAGGAAAGGTTGCGGCAACTTGAGGAGAGCCTGAGGCAGCGCGAGGAAAGTCTGAGGAAACAGGAAGAGAGTTTGAAGAAACGATTTGCTAAGTCCAAGAGCAGGAAAGGTAAAGGAGGGATTGGAGAGAGTGAAAGGTTGGCTGTTTCTGAGTCTGAGGAAAGCAGAAGGAGCGGAAAGGGCGGAGGGATTAAAGTGAGCAAGAAGGTCAAAGGGAGCGGAAGGAGGGGAGGGAGTGGAGAAATGGGAGGGGTTGTTTCTGAGTCGGAAGGAAGCAGAAGGAGCGGAAAGGGTAGAGGGAGCAGTGGGAGCAAGAAGGGCAAAGGGAATGGAGAAATTGGAGGGTTGGTTGTTTCTGAATCTGAAGAAAGCAAAAGCGGAAAGAGCGGAGGAATTGGAGGGAGCAAGAAGGGCAAAGGGAAAGGAGAGGATGGAGGGTTGGTTGTTTCTGAATCTGAAGGAAGCAGAACGAGCGGAAAGAGCGGAGGGATTGGAGGGAGCAAGAAGCGCAAAGGGAGTGGAAGGAGCGACGGAAATGGAGAAATTGGAGGGTTGGTTGTTTCTGAGTCTGAGGGAAGCAGAAGGAGCGGAAAGGGCAGAGGGATCGGAGGGAGCAAGAAGGGCAAAGGGGGCGGAGGGAATGGAGAAAGTGGAGGGTTGGTTGTTTCTGAGTCTGAAAGCAGAAGGAGCGGAAATGGTAGAGGGAGTAGAGGGAACAAAAAGAAGGACGGAGGGAGTGAAAGTAGTGGAGGGAGTGGGAAACGTTGTGCTTCAGAGTCTGTTTCTGAGGAGGGTGGAAGCGGAAGGAAAGACGAGAGGGAGGGAGGTGAGGACGGGGGGGAAGTGAGCAGGCGCAGAGGCGAATTTCGCAGTATGAGCACAAAGCACCGTAAAAGAGACCCCCTTGATAAAATGACCGTGAGCCCTCCTCTTTCCAGCCCTCCTCTTTCCACACCAGCAGCCTCTCCTCCTCTCTCCCCCTCTTCCGTCTCACCTCCTCGCACTCCATCCCTGCACTCCCCTCTTCTCCTTCCCTCTCACTCCCTCACTCTCTCTTCCACCTCTAGCTCTAGTGCCCTGTACGACCATTTAGCTGCTTCCTCTTGTGAGTCGACTCACAAGTCAGCTGGAGCAGGAGCAAAAGCAGAGGCAGGAGCAGGAGAGGAAACTGTAGGAGGAGGAGCAAGAGCAGCAACAGGAGAAAGGGCACCAAGACGAGCAAAATCAGGAGGAGGAGTAAGAGCAGCAGTGGGAGCAAAAGCAGCAGCAGGGAAAGCAAAAGCAGCAGCAGGAAAAGTAAAAGCAGGAGCAGCAGCAGGAGAAAAGGCAGAAGCAGCAGATGCAGCAGGCGTGCAAGAAGGGGCAGTGGTGGCAGTAGTGAAGAGGACTGCAAGCAAAAAGCAGACGAAGGCATCGCACTGTGCGGCAAGCACAGAAGCAGCAGCAGAAGGAGCAGGCGTGGGGGAAGGGGCAGTGGTGGCAGTAGTAAAGAGGACTGCAAGCAAAATGCAGACAAAAGCTTCGAGTCCTGTGGCAAGCACAGAAGGAGCAGGCGTGGGGGAAGGGGCAGTGGTCGCTGTAATAAAAAGGACCGCAAGCAAAAAGCAGACGAAAGCATCGCGTTGTGTGGCAAAAGGCACGGAAGGTGAAGCAGGCACAGCTGCACCTGCTGCACTTGCTCCTGCTGATGCGCCTGCAACCTTTTCTCCTGCTGATGCACCTACAGCTGATGTGCCTACAGCTGATGCACCTACAGCTGATGCACCTACAGCTGGTGTGCCAGCAACGTCTGCTCCTGCTGATGCACCTACAGCACTTGCTCCTAAAGCACCTACCGCACTTGCTCCTAAAGCACCTACCGCACTTGCTCCTAAAGCACCTACCGCACTTGCTCCTAAAGCACCTACAGCACTTGCTCCTACTTCTGCACCTGCTGCGTGTTCTTCCGCTGCCACACCTGATGCTGATGGGACAGCGGTGTGTATGAGAGGTGAAGCCACCGCACCTGCTGCTGCACGTGCAATTGAAGGGGCAGCACGGCACAAGTCTGAAACTCCTGCTGATACTGCTTCTGCTGATCCTGCTCCTGCTGATAAACGGGTAGCAGAACAAAAGAGTGGGATTAAAGTTGCTGCACCTGCTGCTATTGCACCTGCTGCAGCTGCTCCTCCTCCTGCTGCTGGTGCTGCTGGTGCTGCTGTTGCACCTGCTGCTGTTGCACCTGCTGCTGTTGCACCTGCTGCTGTTGCACCTGCTGCTGTTGCACCTGCTGCTGTTGCACCTGCTGCTGTTGCACCTGCTGCTGGTGCTGCTCCTGCTGCTGCTGGTGCCAGTCCTGCTGCGGCGGTATCAGTTGGCACTGCCCGACTTTCTTCCAAGCCTTCATGGAAGCGTTTTCCATCCTTAAGGCCATGTGTTGCGTGTTTTAATTTCGACAAAAGGTCCCTCGCCGAGCTCGCAGATGATTCGCGAGTGGATATTTTGGGCAGATCGGAGGAATCGGGTATGGCAAGGTGAAATTGTAGAAATCAGGGGGGATATAGCTGTTCCTGCTGTACCTTTAGAAAGGGTTTCCAGATGTAATACGTATTCTATCAAACAACTTGGAGTTGACTGCAGTCCAGACCACTTCTTGTGTAAACTCGATTTGTCACACAGCGAAACTGGTCACGTGATCAGTCAGAAAACCCACGGGCGCACCACTGTAGTAACCTAAAGTCGTCGAAACACGACAAGGGATCGCTCCCACGTAGGACGCTAGCGATTGGTTCTCGCTTAGGACCAGTTCCGATTTAGGGCAACGAATCTCGATTCCAGAAACTCAATCCGTGTGACTTGAGCCATGCGCTGTATCTGAATTTACTGTACATGCACCAAAACATGCAGTAGATCTGGCAGCATGCAGTCATTCCTTCACGGCGACAGCTGGTCACGACGAACAAACTTCAAAACCAAATTTTCACCACGGCACCACCCTTCACACCCGTTTCGCAAGCAAGTTTCGTCAACTCGGGAGGACTTGCGGACGCGAGAAAACCCGCGACACTTTGCGGATTTCGGCACAGAGAGAGTGCGATTGCGAACAGCCACACACCACAGTTACTCTTATAACTTGGTCGCAACTTTGGTGGACGACAGTGGTATACACAATATTGTCGTTTCAATCTCCATCTTTCCATCCAAGCGCGAACGAGTGTAGGCATGAGTCTACTCATCGCTTTCTCCATGGAAATAATATGCATGTAACGCTAGTATCGTACCAACAAAGGAGAGTACCTTTTTTCTGTGATGTCAGACCTTTCACATGCATTTTTTAGTAGAGTCGAAACTGCTGAAGATGCAAATCTGCGCAATATTACTGGTTGCAAGTTTATAGAATTAAGGTATGCTAACACTTTTATTGTCTTCAAAGTTTTTATACCATGGTTAACATTTGAATATGAGATGCTTGTACCAACTATATATATAAATATATTTACATGCTTGTATAGACTTGCTCCTATTACATACTTTGTATTATACTTTATGGCACTCCCCGTGCCAAACCCCGTTATTTCCTTTATGTAATACAATATGCATATGATGGAAGATGTATATGCTATCATAAACAATGGGGAATAGATTATGGCATAGTGTCCTTGTCTTCACTGACGGTGGAAATCGAAGACATTTCCACAAATCTCAGGATAGAAAGAATGTCCCCTTGCTTCAGTCAATAAATTTACGGTTAAGCAAGTGTAGAACGTGAGTGCAGGTTCCTGTCAGTCACCTAAGGACAAGGGTGGCTGGTGGCTGGTGTCAAGCACACGGCACTCCTCCCCCACACCACTCAAATCCCTCCATAAATGCGGCAGCTAGGGAGTTGATAGGGAGCCCGCAATTGGTCCGTCCTTAGGACCGCTTTAGTTCTGTTGGGATTCTTCTATGTTAGGTCTAAGAAATTCGGTCCGTCATTGCTTGGCCAAACTTCGGTGTACGTACAGGTCAGGGAATGTTAGCACACAGCCAAAACAGGTTTCATAGTTCTAGTGGGTTTCGGGTGCGGAATATCCACAAACTCCTGTTCGATGAAAAGTCTGACGCCGTCAATGAGGTTATTTTTGCCCGAGAGCGTCCCCGAAGCTGGAAATCATTCACCACCAGACCTCCGCTGCGTCGTGATCAGAGGGGGTACAACCGAGTCGCCTCCCTTGTGTTTACCGATGCGTGTCCGATATGACACAGCGAGGCCTGGGCCACAGTCGCACCCTCTCTAGAATCATCTCGCTCGCTCGTTGTGGGCCGGAGAAAGCCAGATGTGCCATATGAGCTGGTTGCCACATGGCTCCTCAGGTAGGCAGGGACCAGCGTACGTGCCTTGCTTCCGTGAACGCCGCTAGGCGGGAGTCGACAAGCTACAAGTAAGATTCGGCGCCAGGTTAGGCCGTGCTGGACTCATGATTCCGCCAGACGAGACGACTCCTCGCCGCCACGATCAGGTTCCCGCGACTCGGAGTCGTCGTCGACTGCGTATCTTCGTCGTTACTCTTCTCTCCGAGAAAGGCAAATACTCACACTACTATTTTTACGACTTCTAGGCTCACAGAGTGGCATTGTCCGTGCCATCCTCTAGCAAATGTTTGCTGCAGTTCAGTACCACTACCCTGAACGTATCATGTCACTGTCGGGTGTCCGTCAATCGCTGAAACTGCGCGCACCGCTCTGAATATTTGCGTCGAACGACGCGACTCAGGCTCCTCCCGAGATCTCGGGTTCAGATTCCCAGACACTGGAGAGAACGGCGACTGGCAGTCGGCTCCCACATTCTTACTACTACGAGCTACTAAGGCAAGTGGAAAAAGTCACATGATTCGCGGCTACCTTCAAAAATATTTCCAACACCCATTTAAATTGAAGCAAATTCGTATTACTACTTCCTACGAGTTACGACTGCCGACATGACGCGAGCTACGGCGGCACATCGGACAGTCGAATCATCCAACAGCCTTCTCCCGCTAATCAACGCCGGCCACGTGTCCTCCATCTGGCACGACATCCTCCTCATTCCGCCTCCGCCGCCTTCCGCGAGCGGCGCCAGGAGTCCCGCGGCCAACTCCTCCTCCCCGCGCCACCCTTCCCCGCGCCAGCTTCCCGCTTCTCCTTTCCCCACCTCCACCTTCACCTTCGTCTGCCGCGCCTCCGCGGATCGCCGCGGGAGCGAAAGGCGGCAGCAGCGCGGGGAGAAAGAAGACCCCCTTCTCGAGTCGCTGCGGGAGAAGCGGAAGGTGGCCGTATTGACCCTGGACGGCAGCCTTTATACTATTAAGGTGCGGACGGCGGGCCGTTGCTCTAAGTCCGATTCGAAGACGGCAACCGAGGCGCCGCCGTCAACGTCGCTGGCGCCGTGGAATCTGGGCATCCTTCCCCAGACGTGCGTGCTCGCGTCGCCATCCATGTCGATGTTTGCCCGTTGGGATGATGCAGCGAATGCTACGAACGGATGCGTCGACGAACTCGAATCGCGGCCGGTTAAGGAGCTTCGCGATTCGCTCTTAACGGCGTTCGACAACTCGTCTCTTGAGGCGCTGGAGATTGGGTCGCAGGCGCGCGATCCTGCGACGTGTATGAAGTTATTCCGCTGCTGGCGATTCCCCTTCGACTGCTGGGTTCTGGGCGAAACAGCATGCCGATATCGTGGAGGATTGTAACCATCGCAGCGGACGACAAATTGGTGGCGAACGGGCAGCTGAAGCATTTCTTGCTGCGAAAAATGTTGGATCGCGTGGATGACTGGGTGAAAACGTCCGATTTTTTTGGACAATTCGAAGGACCAGGTACTAATTGTTACGAAGTTACAAGTGTGAATTTGTTACCAAGTGGGCCAAGCTGGTCCTGCCCCTTCCTTTTCCCTGTCCTTCATCTCCCTTTCCTTCTACTTCCCCTCCTTCATCCCCTCCCAACTTCCTCTCAATACGTTCTTGGCCCTTCCTCCCGTCCTTCCGTCACTGCTTCCACAGTCCTTTCTCAGTCATGTCACTGGCCTTTCTCGAAGCATATCTTGGTTCATAATCGCTACCTTACAACTTACTTCCCTATATATATTTTTATATTTATATATATGTATATTCTAAGCGTGAACGAATATCACCAAAGCGGAACGTTTCGAGGCCTTACCCTGCATTCTCCCATGCTCTCTCCCCTCTTTTCTCCCCTCTGTCCCTCGTCCGCGCAGGTCGCTCCCCCAATCCTTGCCTTGACGCCCCCCCCCTCTCCCTCGTCCGCAAAACCCGCGGAGAGGGAGGCGGGGCGAAGCCTATCCGGAAGTCAAGACTCCATAACAGACCGTCAGGGGGGGGTAGTAGCATCACGGAGAATCACAAAAGCCGGAGATAAAAACTCGAGCATCAAACTCGAGAGGCTCGGGGCGGAGGGCTATGTTGCAAAATACGCGTATGGCGTACGGAACGCGTACGAACTATACGGTATCGTACATACGCGATACGCAAGGGGCAGCAGCAGCAGCAGCAGCAGGGGCGGCACGATAAGTCCCCGCGTGCCAGCAGCACCGGCGGCAGCATCAGCAGCGGCAGCGGAGGCTCAGTGCCTTCAACCTCGTCAGCTGATGGCCCTCCGGTTCCCTCCTGGCCCTTCTCCTCCACCTCTCCCACCTCTCCTTCCACCTCTCCGTTCTCCTCCTCCAAATCCCCCAAATCACCCTCCAAATCCCCCTCCAAATCCCCCTCCAATTCCCCTTTCAGATCCCCTTTCAAATCCCCGTCCCCTCCGTTTTCTGCCTCGGCCTCATCGCCCTGTTTAGACCGGGCGGCAAGCTCCAGCAGCCTGCAATCGTATCGGATCCGCCACACCAAATCTGCTACGGAGTTTGATAGTGGCGTGTGGAGACTTGTTGCTCCTCTCGAGAGCTATGGGCTCCCAGGGATGGTGTCTCCTCGGCTGGGAGGGGGAGGAGGAGGAGCAGGAGGAGGGAGAGCAGGAGGAGAAGGAGGAGGAGAAGGCGGAGGGGTGAAAAGTGGAGCTGGAAGGAAACACAGGCACAGCCACAGCATTGACTTTGCTGCAGTGATGAAGAACAAGGATTGGCTTCACAGTCATGACTTGAAGGACTGGTTGCATCACCCTGAGTCTGCTGGTCTCGTGGTGGTTGCTGCTGCTGAGGGTGCAGCAGCAGTGGCAGAGGCGGCAAAACAGCAGGTAGTTGCTAGACTGACTGCTGTAGCCGGGAGTGTAGTGGGGACGGCAGAGCATGTGGCTGGGAATGTGGCGGGTGCAGCAGCAGTGGCAGAGGCGGCAAAGCAGCAAGTGGTTGCTAGGCTGAATGCTGTAGCCGGGACTGTAGCGGGGACTGTAGCCGGGACTGTGGCAGGGACTTTTGCAGAAGCGGCAAAGCAGCAGGTAGTTGCTAGGCTGACTGCTGTAGCCGGGACTGTAGAGACTGTAGCAGAGACTGTAGCAGGGACTGTCGCGGGGTCTGTAGCGGGGACTGTGGCAGCGACTGTGGTTGGAACTGTAACCGGTCGCAGAAGCATAAGCACAATGCCTCTAGGCGTCTCCAGGAAAGCGTTTTGCAATGGTACTTCAAGTGTGGAAGGAGGGAGTGGAGGAAGAGGAGGAGGAGGAAGCGGAAGAGGAGGAGCAGGAGATATGTTTCCTCGAGCTTCGTCACTCACGGGAGGAGGAAGAGGAGGCGGAATAGGAGGAGGCGGCAGAGGAGGAGCAGAGGAAATATTCCCCCGTGCTGCGTCACTCACGCGGTCCCCTCCAATCACGTCCGCATCTCGATCTGCTCTTCTCCCTCCTCCTAACTCCTTCACCTTCTCTCCCACCTCTAGCTCTAGTGCCCTGTATGACCAGGCAGCTGGTGCGAGGAAACCGGGAAGCAGGCACAGGCACAGCCAGAGCGTGGACTTTGCTGCTATGACAACGAATAACAAGGACTGGCTGCACAGCCCTGAGTCTGCTAGTCAGTTTCTTGTTGCTGCTTCTGCTGCCAAAGAACAAAGAACAGCTGCTGCTGCTGCTGCTGCTTCTGCTTCTGCTGCCAGAGGTTCAGCTGCCACTGCTGCGGTGACGAGCAAGAACAAGGGCTGGCTGCACAGCCCTGAGTCTGCTGGTCGGGCGGCGGCTGCTTCTGCTGCCAAAGAACAAAGAACTGTCGCTTCCGCTTCTGCTTCCGCTTCTGCTTCTGCTTCTGCTTCTGCTGCCAGAGGTTCAGCTGCTATTGTTCCTATGACGAGGAAGGACAAGGACTGGCTGCACAGCCCTGAGTCTGACTGTCAGGTGCTGGCTGGTGCTACCAAGGGTGCTGCTAACGCTGCACCACAAGCAGCAGCAACAGCAGCAGGAGCAGCAGCAGCAGCAGCAGGAGTGGGAGCTACAGGGTCAGGGAAAAGCAACCCTGATGGTTCAAGGGTAGAAGGAGGGAGCAGAGGAAAAGGAGGAGGAAAAGGAGGAGGAAACGGAGGAGGGGAAGGGAAGACAGATTCACCTCCTCCTTTCTCAACACGCACCCGATTTGATCCTCTCACTCGCTCCTCCAGGCCTCCTTCTCTTACTGTCTCCCGTCAAAATCCCTTTTCTCACCACCAGCCCACCTCGATCACCCTCCTTCGCCCTTCCACCTCGGTCTCCCACTCTCACTGGCCCACCACGGTCTCCCCCTCTCACTGCCCCACCTAAGTCTCCTTCTTCCACTCTTCCCCCTCGATCTCCTACATCAAAGCTCCCATGTCGATCCCCTCCCTTCACCTCCCCATCTCGATCCCCTCCCTTCACCTCCCCATCTCGATCCCCTCCTCTCGCTCCCCCAACTCAATCCCTTCCTCCCCCTCCCTCTCACTCCACACTCTCTTCAACTCCTCCTGGCTCAAATGCTCTGTTCGATCATCCAGCGGCCTCCCCTCCTCTCGGGGTTGTGAGGGGGTGCTCTTTTGGTGTGGCAAGAGGGGAAGAAGGAGGAGGCGGAGGGGTGAAAGGAAGTGCTGCAAGGAAACCGGCAACCAGGCACAGGCACAGTCAGAGCGTGGACTTTGCTTCGATGACAAAGAAAACGGACTGGTTGCACAGCCCTGAGTCCCCTAGTCAGTTTCTTGCTGCTGCTGCTGCTAAGGCTGCAGGGACAGCAGCAGGTGACAACGGAAGCGGAAACACAAACAGCAGCAGCACAACAGCACCTCGATCCGCTTCTCTCACTCCCACTCACTCCCCCACGAACAAGACAGCCGCAACAGCACTCTTCCCCCTCTCTCAATCCGCTTCTCTCACCCTCTCTCACTCTCCCAGCAGCAGGACAACAGCATCACAATCCGCTTCTCTCACTCCCTCTCATTCCCCCATCGGCGCCCTATCCCCCTCCGCGCACCATCTGAGCAGCAAACCGCCTACCACCACCACAGCCATTCAAGCAACCCGCAAGCGGGTATCTTGGAACATTGAACCAAAGCCTTTGCCTGCCACTGCCAGTGCAACGCCGGGGGTGAGTGAATCACTGGAAGATGTATTTGATAAGTTCGCTGGTGAGCCTGCTGAGGCTAGTCAGGGTAAGAGGGTCCCAACAGGTGCTGCTGCTGGTGCTGCTGGTGCTGCTGGTGCTGCAACTGCTGCAGCAACTCCGGTTGGGGTCGCTGCAACAGCTGCTGGTGCTGCTGTAACTGCTGCTGCGTTGTCAATGTCGTCCCGTTCTTTCCAAAGCCCCACTCGAGCCATGGCTACGAGATCTCCTTCCCGGCCTTCCTCTCACGAGGTGGCTTCTGAGTCGCCTCAAATGTCGTCCCGTTCGTTCCAAAGCCCGACTCGAGCCATGGCTACGAGATCTCCCTCCCGTCCTTACTCGAATCTTCCTGCTTCTACCTGTAAGCTTCCTGTGAAGAGCCGGAGTGCAGACTATAGGCATAGGCGAAATGCGTCCTTTTCGGAGTTCGGTGGGTTTCCAACAGCCGAGCTATTGAGTGGGTTTGAAGCTCCCACTGGTGGAGAAGCAACTGGGAAAGCATGTGGGGAAGCAGGTGGGAGAGCGAGTGTGGAACCATGTGGGGGAGCAAGCGGGACAGTAGGTGTGGAAGCATGTGGGGGAGCAAGTGGGAGAGCAGGTGCGGAAGCACAAGGGAGAATGGGAGGAAGGAAGGCACGTCCTCCGTTTGTGGTTGTGCCTAGCCGTAGCTTGCACAAGCGGAACTTAAGCCACGACACAGCGTTTGGATCCCCTACACTCTCTCCAGCCTAGACTGCCTTAGATACTAGAGTTGGCTTGAGCACTGGCACAGCAGACGTGGCTTGAGTACAAGCATATGTTGGAGAATTGGGTGGGCATACATGTGTGATTGTTGATTACGTCCCAGCAATCTAGTATTGAAGGTTGTGTAAACTATGGTTTGGAAACATTTCTTGGTTGGCGCAAGGTATGATATGGTGTTTCTCCTCTGTTGAATACCGTATGTTGTCCATTAAATCTATTTTTGTAATAGGCCCTACTGAACAGTGCCTAATATTGGACTGCGCTTCACAAAACATTCACATGAATGCTCCAACGGCTCTTTTGAGATTTATGCTATCCGAGAGATATTTTAGTTTCCACAAGTATTTTTTACAGCTCTATATGCATCCATATACAGTACATGCCTGGCTCCCTTTCTGATGAACTTATGTTTGCTCTATATACGTTCATAAGCAGCCACTTCAATCGGGGCGGGAAATGAGCTTCGGGTTTGCTTGTGATTGGTCCTTGGGTGGGACCATCTCACGAAACTTTCTAGGACTGGGAGTTTCAAATTCTGCGAGCCAGGCCCCGAAAGCCTCATCGGAACTCGGTCGTCGGACCCGTTTTGCCAGTGTCGACGGGAGGGGTCGTCGGAGGAGGGTTTGACGAGGCGGGAGACTGACGCGCGTGCGGGCCCGCCAGCCTGGCCCAGGGCTGGGCCGAGCGCACGACCGCCGCCCCGCAGCCCCGCTCCGAAGGTCAACAGCGACCCACGTTACCGGGTGGGGTCGGCGAACTGGCGACCCCTCGCGCGAGGGAAAGTTACCCTCGCGCGAAGGCAGCCCACACGTGCTGCCTGCCCGCGAGGTCCTAGTAACCCATCGCGGCCTGCCCGGACGGGCAGGCGAGGGCCGTGCGAAAATACGGGCCCCCCTCGGGACACTCGACAATTTCGCGATTCGTTGCGGTGGCGCCACGTGTTCGCCCGTGGCTTCGCATCGGGCGCATGCGAAATTTTAGACGAGGCGGAAATAAATTCTCTCCCATCGCATGCATTCTATCGTCGCGAACCGCTACGAAATCGACACGTGTCGATTGTAGCGTCGCTCCGCGCGCAGGAGGATTCGTGCGTCCCCTCGCCGACCTGGGCCAATGGACGCGAAGTCGACGCTCTACCAAGGCGGAGACGGACCACCTGTGCCACTTGCGCATCCGCCCTCCGAGCACTGCCGAGCCAGGCCCTGCACCCTTGGGCGATGCTGAACGGGCCTGGGGTGGGGGGGGGGGGGGGGGGGCACCACCTCCTTTTCTTTGTGGAAGGTGGCCTCGCTCCGCATTTTCGGCATCTCTTTTAGATTTTCAAACATTGACAGCTCTGCGCCTCCCCTCTCTCCTACCAGAGCCGTCCGCCTCTTTTCTTAGTCGACAGATATGGAGCCGATCTCCGCCGCCGATAAGTCGGCGCCGACATCGGCCGACTTTCCCCTTCGGGTGCAAATGGGTCGCGGTCTCAGCTTCACCTTAGAGTGGAACGACTACGCCGTCCTTCGCGACCAAAAGAAAGAGTTCACCGAGAGATGCTTTGGACTCGCCATCAGGTGGGACGCGGGTAGTCGCGGTAGTCGAATAGGGAAGATGTCGGTGCCGACCAACCCTAGTAGGGCGCACTGTCGCCGATTGTCTTCCGACGTACGTCGGCGGGCGCGTTTGACGAAGCACGTCGACATGGCAGCGTTTGCTTACCAGCCATGTTCTCATCCCTCGTGCTCACTCGTGCGCTCAGGTTCGCTTGGTTTGACATTGGGCGGGACGACCTGCGGTTGTGGGTGCTCGGGATCGGCCCGCTTCGATCGGCCATGAAAGCCGCCGACCATTCTTGCTTTGCTAAGGCTTTCGACGCCGACATCGCCGCTATCCCGCTGAAATCGACGTGAGCTGTTACCCCGTTGTCCAGTCATCGTTTTTCAGTGTCGGCCGCATCAACGCCTTATGCTGTGGTCGACGCCGTCGTTTATTGCGTGTGCAGCGGCGGCCCGCTTCCAGGGTCACACTGCAGCGTCATAGCCATCCTCTACCCAGGAGATGTGCTGAAGGCTGAGGGACAGGTCTGCAGGACATCGATCCGGCACATCGACCCGCACACCGGAAAAGGGAAGCACCGCGACGAGGCCGTCCGCGTCCTGAAGTAAGTTGTGAATAGTCGTCGCTGTCGAGTTTGTTAGTCGCCGACACAGGGAATCTCATGCTGACCTCCTCTCCACTACGTTGCTCCAGGCTATTCCGCACGGCTGCCCTGGCCGAGCTGGGGCGTCCCGGTAGGAAGTGGGACGGGGCGCCGCCATCACAAGCAGTGGTGGAGGAAAGGCTTGCCGACTGCGACGACCCTATCCGCGACGTGAGTTGCACGTTTAGGCTCCGCTACGGTCTGCGCGTATCTGTATGCACCGCTCATATTGTGCCGCGCTTGCCTGTGTTGTATGCAGAAAGTGCCGGGCACAGTGTCGGACGGGCATGTCGGCACCGGCATGCTTGCCGCGACGTCGTTCGGGTGGGTGGCCAAGCAGATCGGCCTGCTGACGGGCGACAAGGCTCGGAGCGCTGTGAGCATCGAGAACATCAAGGTCGCGGGTTTGAGGTCGCTCCGTGATAGCATGGTCGATTACATCTGCCATCGTGTCGCCGAAAACCGGATAGCGGCGCCGACTTCAGGCGCCGACGGACCCGCCGAGGGTGCGATTGATGACGACGGCGCGGAAAGTCAGACGGCGCCCCAAGCAGCAGCTGCCGCCCAGCGCCAGGAGGACTTGCCGGTGTCCGCGGAAGGAGGAACCGGTGGAGGACTAGGCGACGATGCGGCAGGCGCAGGGAGGAAGGAAGAGGAGTTGACGGACTCTGGCTCAGAGTCGGAGTCGGAGGGGGAGGAGGAGGACGAAGGGGAGAAGGAGAATGAGGACGAGGAGGATGACGAGGGCAAGGACGAGAACGATGAGGTGGTGGAGGTGGTGGCCGGGAAGGATGAGGCGGCGCACGAGGAAGGGGTGGAGGAGGAGGTGGAGTACGAGCTGGAGTACGCAGACGGCACGGTTGAGGCGGTGGGGTCGGCGGACGAGAAGAACGAGGAAGCGGAGGATGGCGATGCGGGTAATGCTACGGGGTCGGCAGGTGAGGGGAAGGAAAAGGATGAGGTCGGCGTGGAGGCAACGACGGAAACGGGCCAGGAGGAGGCGGCATGCGAAGGTGCGAAGGTGTCGGTCGACGCCGGCGAAGGTGCGAACATCGCGGGCGTGCAGGAGACGGGGGACGCATCTGGTCGGCAGGGCCCTGCAACGGACGACGTCGAGGAGCTGCGACGGGAGAACTTCTTGTTGAGGGCGGAGAACGCTCGGCTGCAGGGTTTGCTCGATGCGGAACGGGCTCGGCTGGACGCGTTTTTTGTTGGGCTACGTGGACTCGTCGACCTCGTGAAGGACTTGACCTGGCAGGTCGACGACACCGAGAAGTATGCGGCGGAACAGCTGCGAAACGCGGCGGAGGCCATGTCGCAGACCATCACGGGCAACATCACCGGCAGCTTCGACGAGGCGTGGAAGACGATGAAGACCTTCGCGGAACAGGCGTCGGCGTGGCTGGAGGACTTCGACAACCCGGAGGGAAATGTGGCGTATCAACGCGCCTTAGCGGTCACCACCTTGGCCGACCACGTCGACAAGGTGGTGGGCGATGCGCAGGAGGATTTGCGGGAGCACATCACGAGCCAGTTGTCCGCCGCAGCTGTCAACATCGCCACAGCTGTGACCGGCAGGCTCCCCGTGCAGCCGCCGCCACCGCCTCAGCCCACGCCGCCCGCCCTCCCGGAAGAGCTCTTGAAGTCGTTCAAGGCCGACATCATGAAGACGGTGACGGAGGCCACCGAGCAGTCGTTCGTTGCGTCCGGGATGAAGATGTTGACCGAGATGATCGGCACGGTGGCGCCTGGTCGACGTGGGTCGTCGCCTTCGGCCAATGACGCCGACGCCGCGCAACAGAGGGCGGCCGACAAGCAAGGCCTGAAGAGGTCGGGCGACGGTGACGACAAGGAGAGCTCGAAGCGGAGCAAGGGATCGGACGGGAGCCGCGGCACGAAGCCTCCTGCACGGAGCGTGGTCGACATGCTGAAGGCGAAGGGGTGGAAGGTGAGGGGAGGGTCGACCAGCAAGGGAAGCGGAAGCGGGGGGGCGGACGGGAGACCTGCCGACGGGATCGCGGCTAACGTCGATGCACCGCCTGGCCCGCCTTTGGACGCCGAGCAGACCCATCCTCAGGCGAGCGGTGGGAAGGACGCGGCCCCCACTGCCCAGGCGGCGAAAGTCGGAGGCGCCGGAACCACCCAGGGGCCGTCTGACGCGGTGCCGGCCAAGGGCAAGGCGATGTCTGCGTCTGCTACGGTCGCCGGAACCGGCACGGCGAAGGCTGCCTCTGCTTCAGTCCCCGGAACCGGCAAGTCGAAGGCTGCTTCTGCTACGGTCGCCGGAACCACCAAGTCGAAGGCTGCTTCTGCTACGGTCGCCGGAACCACCAAGTCGACACCATGTAACCCGCCTGCGGCAACCACCGGGCCCGCCGGCCAGTCAGGTGCGGGGAAGCATGGGGAGGCCCGTGCGGCCCCTCCAGCTCCAGCAGCCCCTACTGCCGCCAAGGTCGACGCGAAGGCTGCTTCGGCACAGGGGCCACCCGGGAGTAACGCGCTTAGGGTGTTGCTCCACCGCATGGAGTCCCACCGCCCGGGCGCGCAGCAGCATCCTGTGGTCGACGCCGGCCTCGCAGAAACAGCACGTCGCTCCGTCACTCCGCACGTTGCCGGCAAACCGTCCGATGCCCAATCTGCCGCGCGGCCGGTCGCCGCCCCACCGCCTGCGGACCCCAAGTCCGCGTTTCTTCGCGCCCATATAGGCGCACGCAAAGCGGCAGCTCCACCAGTCACTCAGCCGGAACCCGGCACAAGCGCGACGCCGACGGCTGTAAATGCGACCGCACCCTCCCCAGGAGCAGCTGTGGTCGATCTGGCGGCGGAGAGGGGAGTCAGTGCAGCGCTAGCCACCGGCGGCCGCGCCGACAGGCATGCCGCCCTCGAATCCGTCCTGGCCCAGTTTGAGGCAGCAAAACGGCCCGAGCATGCCCCGGCACTGGCCGTCATGGACACGGCGCATGCGGAGCCGTCGGCGACCAACACAGGGGGTTCGGCGGAGCCGACGGCCGCAACGGGTGTTGTCGCCGAGGGAAATGCGGGACGGAAGGGTAAGGACGACACCGGGAAAGGGAAGGCGGTGTCGGCGGGGAAGGAGATGGCGGAAGACAAAGGGAAGAAGCCGGCACGGAAGACGGGCGGCAAGGGTAAGTCGGCAAAGAAGAAGGAGGAGGAGGAGAAGGAGGAGGAGGAGGAGGAGGAGGAGGTGGGGGAGGGGGAAGAGCATGGACGCCGGGGTCATGGCATCCGCCGAGACAGGTCTGGCGACGGGCAGGGGTGGGTGGGCGAGATGAAGTTCAAGAACCAGAATCGGTACATCGGCAAGTCCCGCGACAAGATGGAGCTGGCCTACGAGCACGCGATTGCGTACTTCGTCTACGACGGCTACGTGAGCAAGGTGCTCATGAAGGAGCTCACCGCCTTGAAGCCGGGAGAGTTGGATGAATGGAAGGCGGTGTGGGAGGAGGTCAAAATCCTGCCGACCGGGATGTGGACGGTGATGTGGGCCAGAGGCTTGTGCCATCCGAGACCAAGGTAAGTCGGTTACCGACATGCCGTGTTTTGACGACCAAGTCGGTGTCATTAATTCTATGTGTACGTGTTCGCTCGGCAGGTTCGACGACATACTCGGCAGGTTCCGTGGGTACGCAGGTTCGGGTGATGCGCTTCATGACGTGCTCTGGCCGGCGATGTGGTTCCCCGTCTTCGAGGACTCGGATGAAGGCAGGGCGGAGACAAATGCCAACATGTCGGCGATGGTGAATCGCGTGTCGATGTGCGCGGCGTATGGAAAGGTCGCGGCGAGAGTCGCGTATGGGAAGGTCGACGGGAGCGCGGAGGCGACCGCGGGAGAGACGACGGATATGGAAGGCGCGGACAGGAAGGCGGACGAGAAGGTGCAGATGGGGGCCCAGGCGTTAGCGGCCTCTGCATGCGCCCTCTGGTGCTACATGTCGACGCCGGCGTCGGTGCTCGGTGCTGTGGGCGAAGGTAAGGCGGCCGCGATTCTGGCAGGTGCGGGGAAGGAGAGGGGCGAGCACTTCGCGATGGTCATGCACGTGGTTATCGAACACGCACGCACTCGGCAGGCTCCCGCGGGGGAGGTTGCACATAACGTCGCGCCAGAGCTGCAGCGCTATGGAGTGGCCAGGGCCTTCGAGGCGGGCATTGAGGAAGACGAGGCCGACATGATCGCAAGAGCGACGGTCGAGACCTTGGCGTTCTGGGGAATGTGCCCCCTCGACGGGCCCAAGCTCAAAGCGGAGGGCATCGATGTGCCGTGTGACGCGAAGATGGAGTACGATTTGGATCACAGGGGGAGGAAGGGGGAGAAGGTCAAGCAGGCCAAGGGCAGCAAGAGGAAGAGGTAGTACGGATGCGTAGTCGGCGGAATGATGTTTGCTAGGTTGCTAGGGTGTGTACTATATTGGTATGGACGGCGCCGATTTTGGCGTAGATTTGTTAAATGTGGCCTTTTTTTGTTCAAGTGCTGTTCGTTTCAATATTGGGCTAACAACTCGGTGTCACTGTATAACCATGCTAGCCGAATATCACCCGATGAGCCAAGTCGGCGCATATGTCGACATGATATGCACATGATACGTCGGCGATAAGCAGTGCAGAAACATGGTTGTCGGCATGACGTCGACAGTGATTTTTAGCCACACCTACTGTACTGGGCGACAAACAACCAACATCGGCAACATTCACCGACAACTACGGTTCGCATGGACATTGATGTGGGATGTTTACAAACTACCAGAAACATCAGTCGGATGGGGCGGGGGGGGGGGGGGGGGGGGGGGGGGGGGGCTGTTTAAGTCTGCCAAAATCTACGCAGACGCATATCCCATGAGGGACTTCATGCCGTCTTCTTGCGCTTGGTCGGAGGACGCTGCACGGGTGCGGTCGGCTTGGCCGGTGCTGTCGACTTGGCAGGTGCGGTCGGCTTCGCCAGGTCGGCCTTGGTCTTCGGCATCTGCTCCTCCCAGGTGTCTGGAAAGAGGGCTTCGAGCCAATCGGCCGGCTTCAGATTGAGCGCGACAAGCCCACAGGCGAGGCGAAGCTTAGAGACGACCTTGGGGCCCAGCCCCTTGACTCCCATGCCAGGCTCTTTGGACTTCATCGGTTCCGTTTTCGGGTTGAGCACCGTGAGGGCGTCACAGAAGGTCCCAATGCCCGGTGCCGCGATCCTGTTCAGTGCGTCGACCACGGCCTCGGTGTCGGCGTCGCCGTCGCTCGCGCGTAGCTGGCGCACCGCATCCATGGCCCTCATCATGCGTCGCACTTTCGTGTCGAGCCCACCCTGCGTCGCGCCCTTTCCTGTGAGGAGGGTGTGGCGGGCGACGAATCCCTTCTCGGCGACCCTGTCGCAAAGGCGACGGGTGTCATTGGCGGTGGCGGAATTCCATAGGCGCCAAGCGTCCCTCACAGTCTTTGCCTCCCGCCACGGTTGCACCACGTTGAGCTCGTAACTGGCCTCCTCGTCCGTCTGTGGGGGTGGCGGGGGTTTGTCATCCCCTTTCTTGGCTCCAGCCCCCGTGCTGGCCGAATCCGTCGATCCACCATCGCTGGGAGCCTGCGCGGGAGCCGACGGCGGGGCCACCGGCACTCTCCGTGCTTGTGACAAGCGGAGTGCCTCGGTGACACGGGCTAGCTCGGCGGTGAGCCCAGCGATGGTGTCGTCGCGCTTCTCGATCTCCTCTAGGAGATCAATCTTCTCGTTCGCGGCGCGCTCTTTCTCCTTCTGCATCTGGGCCTTGAGGGACATGTTGTAGTACTCGGTGTCCATGCGCACCGAGATTTCCTGCAGCAGTAGGAGGAGGAAAACGTGAGGGCCGCGGTGGTTTGGTTTACACTCCCTACTGCACGTCGGCGACAGTATCGTCGACTTACCTCTGGCTGTATTTGGGTCGGGTCGCGACGCTTGTTGATCGTCTCGGTGTCGACGCTCTCCACCCGTTTCGCCCAGTGCTGGAAGAGGGGGATCCGGCAGAGCTTGGAACCTTGGACGTACGGGTGCCATGGTGTGCGGACTAGCTTCACCGCTAGGTCCTCGGCGACGATGCGGCGCAGCATCAGGAGAGTGCGCCAGAAGTGCACCGCGGCTTTGTCGGCGTCTGACCCCTCGACAGCCTTCCCTTCCGCCTGCCATTTGTCACGGGTACGGGGAGCTCAGAAAAGGTCGGCAACACGACTCGGCGGCAAGCTACGAGGGCGTCGACTAACATACCTCCTTCAGCATGTCGTCGACGCCGGGGAATATGTGCTCGGCGAGGAGCTTCAGGAGCTTCTCGGAGGGCGGCACCCTGCTCCGACCCAAGAAGTAGTCCTGCTTGTACCCCGAGTACCCGGCCTTCTTCATCACCACCCCCACCGGAATGGCGGTGATGTACGCTCGCGTCATCTTGTCGAGAGCCCAGTGTCCAAGCTCCGCGATCTCGGCGCGCGGCGTGCCGTCGATAGCCAGCTCCTGGGCCCCGCCCGCTCGAGCGGCGTGCACGTTCCTCTTGCAGAAGACATTGTTGGTGTCCCACAACTGCCGCGTCCAGCGTTGGTGGGTTGCCGCAGAGAGCTCACCCTGGTCGGTGTCGTTTTTGGCGAAGAACAGGTGCTTCTTGTACCAGCTAGCGCGTGTGCTGGTGTCGACCGGCGGAATGAGGCGGACGCCGTGAAACTGACCGATCTGATCGAGGACGAAGTGCAACCACAGGCCCGTCTCGCCGACGGCGCACAACTCCGCTTCGAGGTGCCGCGCGGCGTAGCTCTGCTGCAGACGAGCATCCTTGGACGTCTTCGAGTTCCGCGCTCCGATGACCATGACGACCGGCTGGTTCTCCGGGTTGATCGAGGAGGTGCTCGCCAGTCGGTACAAGAAGATGTCGGGGAGAGTGATCTCGCGGATGCTTGCACCGCGCAGGAGAGAGTGGTGGGAGAGTAGCGTGAGCACCTTCAAGAGAAGAAACCTCCACAGCGTCTGCGAAGGACCCGTACCCCGCGGGTTCCACGCCTTGGCCGCCCACGCCGGCAGCACCCTGAACATGATCTGGCGGAACTGTTCGGCGGTGTAGGTATCGCCGATGGTTCCGCGACGGCGATCGGCGCAGTTCCTGCCAACAATGCCATGGGCAAGGGGTATTTAGGGCGGCGTCGACAAAGATCATGACAGCAGGAGAGTGGTCGACGTAGGTTAAAACATAAACTCACTTGATGTCCCGCTCGTTCTTGGTGCGGATCATGTACCGCACCTCCGACCTGACCACCGATATCTCCCTCATGATGCTCAGTTCCGTCTCCCGGAAGAGCGTCGCCTCCACTCTCGCCGCCATCTGGCATGCCTTTATGCGCCCGAGGAGCGTGTGTACCGTTGTCGACTGCACCGGCTGTGTTCCTGTGGCGTTGTCGGCCCCCTTGCCGGACTCGGCATCGAGGTTCAACTCCCGAATCATGTACTTCACGTATGCGCGAAGCCGGTCCTTGGTGACCCTAGGGCCGTGCAGCCACACGTGAGACCGGGGGACATCGGCCTCTTGGTCCCAGTTTTTCTTCTTGTTCTCCCGGATGTAGTGCCCTATCTCGTCGACGTGCTTAAGCCTGTACTCCTGCGGAAGCTTGTTGCGAATTTGCTTCAACATCTTCGCCGCCCACCTCTTGTAGTGATAGATCCACGAGGTGTACTGCCTCAGCGTGCTGTTCCTCTCCACGGTTTGCAGGTGGCGAAGAGCGTCCATGACGAGCACGTCTACGCACGCGTAAACCATGTCCTCCTCGACGAAGTCTGCCGCTCTCCACTGTTCGCGCGGCACCGCCAAGTTCTCCTGGTCCTCGTCCTCGTCCTGGTCGAGCAGTATGTCGATGAATTGCAGTTCCCGCCTGAGTCGTTCGTCCAAGGTGCGCGGATTAGAGCTACGAGGTGGACGGTCGTCGTTTTCGTCATCGCTTTCCTCCTCCTCCTCCTCCTCCTCCTCCTCCCCCCCCTCCTCCTCCGCGTCCTCGTCATCGACCTGGTTTCCAGGGGCGGCCGGTGCCGACGAGGTACCTGGCCGACCATTTTGCGTAGGAGTCTGTTTTTTCTTCTTGTTGAACTTCCCTATCGGCGGTGGCGGAACGTCCGTGGTGAACACCCCTTCTGGGATCTGCGTCAGCTTGTCCAGATCGTAGAGTAACTGCAGGTTGTCTTCGTCGGTAGGTGTCGGACTGTGGTCGGTGGATGTCGGACTGCGGTCGGTGGTCGTCGGACCCTGGTCGGTGGATGGCCTAGCGTCGGACATGTCGACGTCGGCCATGTCGGTACACGTCTGCTGCTCTACCGTCGTCCGTGTGCGTTGGGGAGGTTGTTAAACCACTGCCGGTATTGAGACACGGGTGCGGTGTACGCCCGAAGAGTTGCGCGGCGGTCGTCCTCGAAATGACCCTCAATAACGTCTATCTCGGCGTCGACCTCGAGATCGCGGGGGGTGGTAAACCAGAGACGGTACTGTGTGACGGGTGCGGCGAACGCGCGAAGCGTCAGGCGGTCTTCGTCTTCTTCGAATTCTCGCTCAAGCGCGTCTAACTCGGCTTCGAGTTCAAGCTGTTCCAGCTGCGCCTTGATGTCGGCGTCTACCGAGTCGGCGGGGGGTGGGATGGGTTGCGGCTGTTGGGCCCTCGGGCGACCTCTGGCCATGCGTCGCCGACTTGCTACGTCGACTCGCGACGTGGAACCTGTGCCGACTTGGACGAACAATCGGCTGTCGAGCAACCTACAGGCGCGATGACAGACTGGCAGCTGAAAATTCTAAGGGAACGAGAGAGCAGGAAGGAACGCAGGAACGGACAAGCCATCTCTAAAAAGGTCTCACTCCAATCTGACCCGAAATTGACTTCGAGGTCACCTTCGGGTCACGCGCGTAGGTTCAGCTAGGGTTGAAGGGTCCGTCAAGTTTGGGTCACCCGAACCAGACCCCAACCTCACCTCGCAGCTAACCCAGAGGTGACGCGGCGGTCAACACTGTTCATCCGAGTCGCCCACCACAATAGAGTGATCCACTATATGCTATTGTGAAAGCGATACTTTACCTGCTACATTACGACTAATTTAAAATTCTAATTCTATATAATTATTACATTCAATATTCCAGCAGCTAGAAAGTTCAGATTAGAATTTGCAATATATCCAGGTGTATTACACAAGCAAATGCATGGCATCTACAGCTGTACATGACAACATAATACGCACATCTACACAATAAATAGCGACGCGACATGGTAAGTAACAAATCACTTACGGTAGATCTTGCAGCTTGAACGCCATCTGCCACACACCAGCAGCAGCCAGAGAGTCTATTTCCCCCAAACGCAAGAAAAGCAGCCGGAAAAAAACGTTAACATGTAAACGACAGTACATACCTCAGTGCTGCACTAACTGTTACTTCCACATCACATCGAAAATGCCCATACTCTTCGTTCACCAGATAAGCGTAGCGCGTGCTGCACACATGTCATAATAGAATTGACAATGGTCTTTTGTCTTGCAGACGCGCCCTGTAACAACAGCCAACATACCGCCACATGCACTGATGTTGGGTTACGGAACGGGAAGTAAAGTAGACAATTTCTTACCTCGTCGATAGTCACCCACGGCTGCTAGTACCCTCGATTGGAGCCGTTGCTGCCCTTCGTGAGACCTTCGTCGCTCCCCACAAACGCCATCACCGCCACCCGCCGAAACCCCCGCGCCATCTCTCCTTGCCACCACCCTTCGCTTCCCTTCCCACCGGCGCTCGATCAGGAGGCGGCAGCTCCGACGCCGGCGCGACGGTGGATGCGGAGGGGGCTTCGCTTGAAGAACCTGCGAAAGCGATAGGCAAGGAGAAGGGCAAAAAACCTTTAAATTTTATAATTTAGGAGAAGCATGGGGGCGAAGTTGTGCGTTATATTAGGTGTACGACATCACTAACGCATGGTAATCTAATTAAACACGACGAATACGTTTCCTACTTGCTGCCTGAATATGTTTCCCAAGTGCAGTGTGCGTACACAAGCAGACACAAAGCGCAAGCATCTGTAAGCAAATGAAAATAGCCTCAGCAGCAGAGCAGGCCTAACTTGGTGTCTAGCTGCTTGATCGCAGTACTAGACGGTTCGGAAAGGTTTCGCGACGGTAATGGGGTTTGGCGAGGTGTTTTGAAAGGGTTGGAGAGGATATAGGATGAGTTGGATGTGTGGTTCTCTTTTGCTTTGTGCAGCCAATTTTCGTGTGGCGGGTGTGGAGCTTTCGGCGCAGCTGGCAAGAGAGCGACCACCTGTGCATCACAGGTGGCGCTAAATTACTGCTCTAAAACCGCTGAGTTGGCGACGCTTCCAGTTTTCAGACCAATGGCTAGGCCAGAGTGTACAAGGCTCGCCTGTTTCTGGTTGTATCTGGTTCATGGTGCTCGGGATGGGCTGCTCCGATTTCGCGAAGGACCTGAATTGCGATCGCGGGTGAGTTTTGTAACTCCGTTTCGGTCGAAGTTCGTACTTGGTGACGCGACGGGTGCTACGCTTGTCGCACGAATTCAAAGCGTGTTACCAGTTAGTGTCGCTGACAGTTAGTGTACAACGACAGTTCATTTTCGTATTCGTGAGCAGTCCGGCATGTGTCGGATCGCGCACCAACGTTTTCGGTATAGCAGTAGCCCAATAAGAAATTGAAGTATAAAAAGACCTACCCAAAACGAAATCGGTATAACCTTCACTCACTGTAAAAAATGCTTTGGTAGCATACTAGTGAAGACAAATTTGCTAGAAGTTTACAGATCACAGCCTTCGTTCTATTTATATATATGCGTAAATCCAAAAAAATATATGTTTACATTATAGGGTGTGGATGGGTCATTGGGAATACATTCGTAAGTGCTGCATAAAATTATACCATTTCTTTTTCCATGCTGGCCTGGCTTTATTATGTACTGGAATATATAATGTGGCTGTTTTTGTTTGCAGATGTAGTTTTGCTACAACTGCCTCACCGTGTGCTCAATTGAATTAATTTGTTTTCGACGCACCAGATTGGTCGATGTTTGCTTGCGACGCGAAGGTAGGAATTGTGCCTTGCGATTGGTCAATGTCGGCTAATAAAGCGACTCGACAAGCGAAGCCTTTCGATACGCCAATGTTGGATGCAATGGCGGCTCGGAGCTTTCGGAAGCGCGGCTCGGGGTCAGGTTGGGGTAAAATACGGGTCAGGCGCGATTTTCCGACGAAATTGCTGACCCGAAGGTAACGCGTGGGTCGCGTAATGCTCTACTTGACCTGGAGGTCACCTCTGGGTGATGTTCGGGTCACCGTTTTGTCACCTGGGGGTTGTAAATTTTGGGTGGTCAGGCTAGGGTCGGCCACTTTTTGGAGATGGCGAATGAGCAGGCTCGCGGGGCAACGGACGGGTATGGTCCTGAGCGACTACGATGCTGCCGCGCGTCACGCACACCCCAATGCATCCGCCGCCGTGCATGTGTTCTCGTAAAGGCGGCGCACTGTCCGACGTGGCACGTGCCAGGCATGGCTAGCTGGGCGCCGCGCTGCACGGAAGGGGCGTAAGCCAGTGCCATTCCACGTCGGAATGGGCGTGCGTTACGTGGCTTGCGACCGCCATTGGCGCCCCAGTGCAGAAATTAAGGCAAGCAGACATGGATCTCCCGGAGGCCCGGGATGACTCAAGCACGGCGTGGCAACCATGCCGTGGGGGGCCTATGATCGGCGCCGACTTCCACTCGGCGCGCTTGGCAGAGAACGTGCCGTGTGGCCGGGTTTGTGTGCCTTGGGATGATCTGGTCGACACCGACTTCCCTGGCAACCCGCGATGCCACAAGACAGTGAAGATGTGGACGGTCCGATTTGCGCCGCGTGGGTCGTGCTGTGCGTGATTTGCACCGCTAGAGCGACGCGTGGCCACGACGCCCACGTCGTGGCAGCCTTGTAATCGGTGGGGCGGGTCTCGCACCTCCCTATTGGTCCGCGTGGAGGCATCCGCGGCTCGACGTGGCGAATTTTGTCCGCTGAGATTTCCTTCTCAGGAATCTCCCAGCGCAAACGGGTGTCGTCGGATTGTCTTGTCAACAATCCAGAGGGCTCCCGAGGCCCCTGGGACGCCATTTGGGCCCGTCTGGGAGCTCGGAGGTCGTCGGGAGGTCGTCAATCCCGAGGGGGGGCCTTGTCCCTTTTGAACCGCGAAATTGGGCGGCATTTTTCGTCCGCTGAGGTATATCATCCCGATGCCCGCAGCCCGGCCCGAGCGAGCGAACCCGCCCAGGGTACAGTAAAGCAGAGGAAGGCAACGCACGGGGAAGCCTGCTAGGAGCTCCAGACCCCAAGATACACCCGAGGGGCGTCTCGCGATTCGAAGACAAAAACTCGACGATCAAGCGCGAGGAGCGAGGAACGGAGGGGGCGGTGGTGGAGGAGGAGGAGGAGGAAGAGGAATGGGATGAGACCAGAGAGGCGGAAGAGGTGGAGAAAACAGCGGAACAATGCAGGGAGGCGGAGCAGATGGTGCTGCATGCTCACAGCACGTGGCGTATCCTCTGCGCCACTCTGCGCCAGCCCAGTCTCAAACAACGGGGGGGGCAGACGGGCAGCTCTCACCTGCCCGAGAAACAGCGGCAGCAGCAGGAGCAGCAGCAGCAACAGCAGCAGCAGGGGTGGCAGCACGATGAGCATTTGCGCAGCCCAGTGCTTTCATGCATGCCTCCTGATGCTCTGCCTGTTCCCTCTTGGTCCTCCGTTTCTTCTCCTTCCTCTCCTACTGCCTCTCCGTTTTCCTCAACCCACACCTCTGCCTCTCCGTTTTCCTCAACTGACAACTCGTCCCTAGCGCTCTCCAACCGCCGGCCGGCAAATCCAAATCAAATCCACCATATGAGATCTGATACGGATCTTGATGCAAGCACGGGCGTGTGGAGGCTGATTGCTCCTCCCGAGAGCTATGGGCTCCCGGGGATGGTGTCTCCTGGTGGGTTGAGAGGAGGGGGAATGGGAAAAGGAGGGGGAGGGGGAGGAGGAGCGGGGGGGATGCAAGGCGGTGTTGCAAGGAAAGAGAGGGGCAAGCATAGGTACAGCCAAAGCTACGACTTGTCTTTTATGATGAAGAACAAAGACTGGCTTCACAGCCCTGAGTCTGCTGGTCGGGTGGTGGTTGGTGCCGCTGCTAAGGGTGTAACAGCAGTGGCAGAAGCGGCAAAGGTGCAGGTTACTGGAGCAGCAGCGGTTACCGGCGCTTTTGGGTCAACTCAGAAGCTGGTTGGTGCTGCTGCTGAGGGTGTGGCAGCAGTGGCGGAAGCGGCAAAGCTTCAAGTTACTGGAGCAGCAGCGGTTACCGGTGCTGCTGTCGTTGCTAGCCTGAATGCTGTAGCAGAGACTGTAGCCGGGACTGTAGCAGGGACTGTGGGAGGGACTGTAGCAGGCATTGTGGACGGGACTGTAGCGAGCAGCCGCAGAGGCATGAGCACAAGCATGAGCACAATCCCTTTGCGTGGCTCCCGGAATACCCTTTCCAGTGTTACAATCATGGAAGGGGAGGATGGAGGAAGAGGGGGAGGAGGAGGAGCAACGGATATACCTCCTTCTGTCTCATCACTCAACCTATCCCCTCCTCCCCTCCCCCCTCCGTCCTTCACTTTCTCGCCAAACCCTAGCTCAAATGCCTTGTACGATGGTTCACCTGCCTCCTCCCTTCCAGGAGTTGCACCTGCCGCCTCCCCTCCAGGAGTTGTAAGGAGGGCCACTTGGAACGGGGTGTTTAAGCCTGTTGGTGTGACAGGAGGAGGCGGAGGAGGAGGAGAAGCAGCAGCGGCAGCAGAAGGGGGGGGAGGAGAAGGAGTGAAAGGGGGTGTTGCAAGGAAAGAGGCGAGCAAGCATAGGCACAGCCAGAGCTACGACTTCTCTTCTATGATGATTTCCAAGGGCTGCCTTCACAGCCCTGAGCCTGCTGGTCGTATGGTGGTTTCAACTCTTCCACCTCGGTCCCCTCCTCTCACTCCCTCATCCCGTTCCCTCCGTCTCACTTCCTCAACTCTATCCCCTCTTCTTAGTCCCTCGTCTCGGTCCCCTCCTCTCACTCCCTCATCTCAACCCCCCCGTCTCACTTCCACATCTCGCCCCCCTCCTCTCACTATCCCACCTCGATCCCCTCGTATCAACCCCCCACCTAGATCTCATACTCCCCTTCCCCCTCAGTCCTTCACTTTCTCATCAACCCCTTGCCCAAGTGCCCTCTACGACCATGCACCCGCCTCCTCTCCTCCAGGCGTTGCGAGGGGAGTCACAGTCATCTGTAACGGTGCGTATAAGCCCTCTGTTTTGGTAGGAGGCGGAGGCGGAGGAGCAGAAGCAGGAGCGGAAGGAGGAGGAGGCGGAGGAGGAGTGAAAGGCAGTGTTGCGAGGAAACAGGCGGGCAGGCATAGGCACAGCCAAAGCCACGACTTGTCTTTCAAGGTGGAGAGCAACGACTGGCTTCACAGCCCTGAGTCTGCTGGTCGGGTGGGGATTGGTGGAGCAGCGACGGTTACTGATGCTGCTGCCATTGTTAGCCTGAATGCTGTAGCAGGGACTGTAGCAGGATCTGTATCAGGGACTGTAGAAAGTGGCAGCAGAATTGGGATTGCAAGCGGCAGCAAAAGCGCAAGGGATTCACCTCCTTCTGTCTCATCACTCCCTCGCTCCCCACCTTTCACACCCACAACACCATCCCCTCCTCTCACTCCTCCTCGCTCACCCACCACCTCCCTATCCCTCTCTGCTCACCACTCCTCCATCAAACCAGTTATCACCACCATTGCTTCTCAATCAATCCGCAAGCAGGAGTCTTTGAACCCTGTCTTAAAGCCCTCGCCTGTCGTGGCTTCTCAATCAATCCGCAAGCAGGAGTCTTCGAACCCTGTCTTAAAGCCCTCGCCTGTCATGGCTTCTCGATCAATCCGCAAGCACGTGTCTTGGAACACCAACTTAAAGCCCTTGCCTGCCACTGCCACCACCACTGTTGGGATTCCTGTTGCTGATCCCTCTGTTGGCGTTGGTGCTGCTGCTGCAGGTGGCGTAGGCGGGCTGGCAGAAAGCATCGCCAAAATGATCACTGCTAAAGCTGGTGACGCTAGTCAGGTAGTGACGGTCCCATCTGCGGCTAGTGTTGCTGCTGCTGCTGCTGCTGCAGCCCGCGTAGGCAGGCTGGCAGGAAGCATCGCCGATAAGATTGCTGCTGAAGCTGGGTTGGCTAGTCAGGGAGCGAGGGTCCCAGCTTCTGCTGGTGTTGCTGCTGCTGATGGTGTTCCTGCTGGCAATGTTGCTGCAGTAACTGTTGCTCGTGCTGCTGTAACTGCTGCTGGTCCTGCTGGTGCTGCTGTAACTGCTGCTGGTGCGGTTGCGACTGCTGCAGCATTATCGTTCTCTCCCCGTGCTTCCCCAGTCACTTCACGAGCCGTCACTATGCGGCCTCCTTCCAGTCCTTCGTCAAATCGTCCTCCTCCTAAGCTTCCTGTGAAGGGCCTTGCAACGGCTTTTGAGGCGCCCCATAAACCGCTTCCTGTGAAGAGCCCGATCTCGGGCCAGAGGCACAGGCGGGATGTGTTATCCTCAGAGCTCGGGGGTTCTGCAACGGGCGAAATTTCGATCCGGTCGGAAACTTCTGCAAGTGGGGAAGCAGGTGGAAACTCAGGTGGAAACTCAGGTGGAAACTCAGGTGGGGAAGCACAGGGGAGAAGGGAAGGAAGAAAGGCGCGACCTCCGTTCGTGGTGGTGCCTAGCCGTACCTTGCACAGGCGCAACTTAAGCCATGGCTCAGCGTGTGGATCCCCTACTCCTTCCGCAGCGTAGACTGGTTTTTGAGTCCACTCGCTACTGCTCCCAGAGAACTTTTAGCCATGCCTCACCATTCAGATCTGTTTTCCTCTCTCCCTATCGTCGATGGTTCCGTAACACTAAAGTCAACACGAACAGAGAGAAGCATTTGTAAAAGGCAGATCCTTACCTTTCTGTCGTACAGTATTATAAGTTTGACGGATTGTAATCCTGATAGGTGCCTTTGGTTTGCAAACCTAAGGGAGTGTAACCATTTTGCATTTTGACGATACGTACCGCCGTTTGGGCGAAAGACTGTATCACACGGAATCTCGCTGGGTTTCACTTCGATAACGGGTTCTGACGAAGCGGGAATCTCTGCCCCGAAGCTCAAACCCCCCGGTTTGCGTGCGAACCGCAGCAAACCGCCCCAGACTCAATGTTTGTACCGCGTGCAAACAAAGAACCCCAACCAAGCCCAAACCAACCCAAACCAAACCCTCCTTCCCTGCCCAACGAACCAAGAAATTTGTGCTGCTCGGCGGACCAATCGCGCGAGCCTCCCAAGTGCTAAGATTTGGGCATTGTGGTGGTGCTGCGCTGTACATACAAAACAATCTTTTTCTTTTCGATGAATGGAGAGCATTCTTGGCTGGGTCCACCTTGGCTGCTTCAGGTTCGGATATTCGTTTGATTCCAGCCATACGATAATTTGCGGGCTTGTTGTGGGTGTGCCAGTGTGGTTGAATGTACTAGGTCTAGCAGCAGGTTCGGTTTCCGGTTCGCTGCTCGGTTTGTCGTTGCAAAGTTGTGTTGCAACCCCAAACTGCAAGGTACACGCGTACATTGCTTTGTGTGTTTCGAAACGCTATACCACATCAAGGCCCAGTTCGGCAGGCATTAAAAAAATGGCCTCGGCGGGTGGGCTACAGTGAAACGACCACCCTTGAACCTTCCTTGATAAGCGCGTGAATGATTATCAAGGCTCGATATAAGCGGATCTACGCCGAACCTGACAATAATGGAATGCCTCCAGAACAGTCCTTTTTGTGCAGGCGTTTTCACCAGCTGGAATCTTCCACGAACCCAGTCTCTCGGGCAAAGTGCCCATTTTTTCATCCGCCGCACCATGCGGCCTCGAGGCCCCGCACCATGCGGGGTATCAGTGAATGGGGGCATTAAACAGTGACTGGTCAATTAAGCCAGCCAATCATATGATCACGCGATCCATCACGGAAGCTGCCTACCATCAATCTACACCCAATTAATGCCACCCGAACTGTCAAACCATTAAAAATGGTGCACTGTAGCTACAGTCCCATTTCGGGGCTGTTTCTAGAAATGCACAGGGGCCATTTTTTGGGGGCCCATTAAAAATGCCCATAATGGCCACAATGGCCATAATGCCTGCCGAACAGGGCCCAACCTTCCTCTTGCACCCAACCCATATCTCCACGGGCTCACCCAGCTGGTTCCTTCCTAAAGTTCGCTCAGAATTCCAACCGTACGGATGTTGGGGCGACGAAGAACCGCTTCGCACGGTGAAGAATAAAATACCGCGCCAAAGTGCTCAAATTCGTACTAAACCGTAATTTAACATACTAAACCGTATAAAAGTATCGCTGACCGTAATTGAGCACATTCATCCCTCAACCAGACCACTCAGCTCGCCTTGAGAGCGACACGCGTTTGCAGCCATTTCCAGTTTGACTGCCGGATATGACGCAGCGATGCATTATCCACGGACAAAACTTGCATTCACTTCACTTCACACATAAACATCTATGACCAGCCCTAGACCAGGCCTCGACAAACTCACTTACACTGTAGCTAGCTTCCGTACTTACAGGCTGCTCCTTGCAATTACAGTCGCTACCGGTCACTGCAAATAAACCCGGCCGACTGTAACGGAGAAATTCCGTGGTTAGCTGATTCTCCACATGGCTCCTCCTAGGGCCGCGACGAGCGTGCGTTACTTTGCGGGATCAACGGCGGTCGGGAGGCGGATAGCGATAGAATTCGACTTCCGGATGTGGCATCAAATGTCGTCCTTTGCTCCGACCGCACCGCGTGCAAATCCGAGAGTCTCGAATGGACCGGTGCTTCTCGCGGCGTTTTCCCCGCCGACTCGGGATCAAGTCGGTCAACCAATACGACGCTGCTATTATATCTCGTTCTCTGGGGCCCCCGAGAATGGGAGGCCGAGCCTGAGGCCTCGTTATTCATCATGATTTTAAACTCGCGCAGCTGCACAAGATTCTTCATTTCCGCCTCGTCATCCTCGCTTCTCACACGACTCGTTCTTCACTTGGCCGCTGTCTCCCTGCTAGTACCTCCCTGCTGCCTCCTTGCTGCCTCCTTGCTGCCTCCTTGCTGCCTCCCTGCTGCCTTACCATTGCTACTGGTATCTTCGACGTCAACATGGTGCCGCCGCGGACCGTCGGATCGTCCTCCACGAGCATTCTCCCGCTAATCAACGCCGGCCACGTGTCCTCCATCTGGCACGACATCCTCCTCATTCCGCCTCCGCCTCCCGCCAACGGATTCTCCTCCCCCTCCCCGCGCCACCCCGGTCCCCCCTTCCCCGCCTGCACCTTCTCCTTCGTCTGCCGCTCCGCCAGGTCCTCCTCCGCCGATCGCGGGCCCGCGAGCCATAAGCTTCGGCGCCGCGACGACCCCCTTTTCCTGCGGGAGAAGCGGAAGACCGTGTTGGGCCTAGACGGCAGTCGTATTAAAGTGCAGACCGATACCGAGTCGGAGACGTCGCCGTCGCCGTCGCCGTCGTCGTCGCTCCTAATCGCGTCGCCGTGGAATCTGGGCATCCTGCCGCAGACGTGCGTGCTCGCGTCGCGATCCATGTCGATGTTCCCCCGCGGGGATGCCGCCGCGGACGATCATGGTGATTCTGAATCTGAGCGCACAGATTCGCTCCTAACGGCGTGCGACAACGCGCCGCTTGAAGCGCTGGAGATTGGGTCGCAAGCGCGTGAACCTGGCGACGTGTACGACGTTTTTCCGCTGCTGGCGATGCCCCTGCGACTGGTGGGGGCGGAGCGAAACAGCATGCCGATTTCGTGGAGGATAGTAACCATCGCAGCGGACGACGAATTGGTGACGAGCGGGCAGCTGAAACACTCCCTGAGCGAATTATTGGATCGCGTTCGCGAGTGTGCGAACAAAACAGAATTCTTTGGCGAAATCATGGCACCAGGTAACATGCCGATTAGGTTCATTCAACCATTCCTTTCCAAACCATCCCCTTTCACCCTCTCCTTTTGCTCCCCCATCCTGCTGTCCTCCTTCCTAATACTCCCCTATCCAGGTTCCCCGCTCTTTCTCTCGCCTCCCCAGCTCGTTAAATCTTTCTTCGCTCCTTCATTCCTTACGTTGCTTTCTCTTCTTGCTCCAAACTCTCTTCCAGCTCCTCCCATCCAATCTCTCGTTCCTCTCTCCTCCCCTCCTCATCCCCCCCCCCCCCCCCCCCCCCCCGTTTCCCCGCTGTCCCTCGTCCCCGCAGGTCGCTCCCCCAATCCCTGCTTCGGCGCCTCCGCCTCTCTTTCGTTTGCAGAAGGGACAGAAGAAGAAGCGCGAGAAAGGCCCTCCGGGCTCCAAGGCTTGAGAACTAAGAGCTTGGAGCGGGGAACGTGGAGCGGCGGATGCGGAGGAAGCGGAGGAGGAGCGCTGATACGAACCTCACGAATCGTTGGTCGAGATTCGCTGATCGGGCGCGTGACGCTAGAAGCGGAGGATTCCGAACCTGAGGAGGTGGAATGGGGGAAGCCCGGAAGAAGAGCGGAGGAAGAGGAGGATCAAGCGGAGGAAGCAGCAAGGCAAGCCAGAGAGGCGGAGGATGCGGAGAGAGCGGCAGAGCAAGCGAGGGAGGCGGAGCAGGCGGAGCAAGCAAAGGAGGCGGAGCAGACGGTGCTGCATGCTCACAGCACGTGGCGAATCCTCTGCCCCACTCTGCGCCGGCCGGTTCTCAAGCGCCTGGAGAGTCATCGTGGCGGGTCACGACTGTATGAGAAACAGCGGCAGCAGCAGGAGGAGGAGGAGGAGGAGGAGGAGGAGGAGGAGGAGGAGGAGGAGGAGGAGGAGGAGCAGCAGGAGCAGCAGCAGCAGCAGCAGCAGCAGCAGCAGCAGCAGCAGCAGCAGCAGCAGCAGCAGCAGCAGCAGCAGCAGCAGCAGCAGCAGCAACAGCAGCAGCAGCAGCAGCAGCAGGAGCGGCAGAACAGGCTTTTCCGCAGCCCTCCTGTGCCTGCATGCCATTCTGCCGGTGCTCTGCCGGATTCCTCTTGGTCCTTCACTTCAAATCCTCCTCCCCCGTCCTCTCCACTTACCTCTTCCGCATACTCAGCCTCGTCTAAGTCAGATTCGTTATTGTGTAAGGCCGCGGGCTCCAGCAAGGCAGTGCGTCAAATCCCCCAACGGAAATCTGAATCAAATCTCAGGGACACGGGCGTGTGGAGGCTGATTGCGCCTCCCGAAAGCTATGGGCTTCCGGGGATGGTGTCTCCTCACGTGCCGGGAGGGAATGGTGGAGGAGGAGGTGGAGGGGGAGGAGGAGGAGGAGGAGGAGGAGAGGAGTGAAAGGCGATTCTGAAAGGTGGCACGACTTCAAAGACTGGCTTCACACTCACGACTTTGCTTCGAAGATAAAGCACAAAGACGGGCGGAGCAGTCACGACTTTGCTTCGAAGACGAAGCACAGCGACTGGCATCACGTCTCTGAGTCTGCTGGTCGACTTGCGGTTTCGGCTGCTAAGGTTGCAGCAACAGCGGCAGCAGCAGCAGCAGCAGCAACAAGCTCTCAAGTCGCAAGTTGTTACAACCTTTGAGAAGGCGGAAGCTGTAAAGTCGCAAGTTGTGACAGGAGTCGCGGCTACAGCTGCTGCTGTTGCTGAGAAGCGGCATGCTGTGGTAGAAACTGTAGCAAGGACTTTCACACACCCGACCCATCCCTCTCTTCTCAACGCAGCTCACCCGCCTTCTGGCTTGACTCTAAAGTCAAGCCTCCCTCCTCTATCCCTTCCTCTCACTCCCTCACCTCAATCTCCTCCTCTCACACCCTCCTCTCGATCTTCTCCCCTTACTTCCTCGTCCCAATTCCCTCCTCTTACTCCCTCACCTCCATGCCCACCTCTCACTCCCGCATCCCAATCCCTTCCTCTCACTCCCTCACACTCCTCCACCGCCTCCCAATCCCCTGCTGCTCGCCGCACTAGCTTGAAAACACCCGCTACTTTCACGGCTACTTCTCCAAAAGTGGCCTCCTCTGCTGCTCCCCGCTCTAGCTTGAAGTCACCGGCTACCTTGGCGGCTGCTTCTCCAAAAGTGGCCTCCCCCGCTGCGCGCCGCGCTAGCTTGAAATCGCCTGCTACCTTCCAGCTGACGTCTTCTCCAATAAAGGCCACCCCTTGTGCTCGCCCTTTCTTGCCGAAATCATCTAGCACCTCCGCAACTTTTCCAAGATTCAGCTCCCCTTCTCTCACTCCCTCTCACTCCTCCACCTCATCCCTATCCACATATGCTCGTCGTCCTTCCCTCTTGAAATCAGCCAGCACCACCACAGTTTCTCCGCAGCCCGGTTCCCCTGCGCTCACTCCCTCTCACTCCTCCACCGCATCCCTCTCCACCTCTGCTCGCCCCTCCATCCTCAAATCAGCCAGCACTAGCGCAGTTACCCCAAGACTCGGCAAACGGGTGTCTTGGAACCTTCACCCAGATAGCCCATCTGTCCCGACTGGTGCAACACCTGGTGGGCCTGAATCACCAGAGCGAGGCGGTTACCAGCTTATAAGCAGTTACCAGCCCAAATGCGGTTACCAGGCCATCACAAGAAGGGCATCATGGCATGCAGGTGCCCTTGCTTACATCCATGCTGCTGTTGACACCTGTGCTGCTGCGGGAGCAGGTGCATTGGGTGGGCCGGCAAGAAATGTTTTTGATAAGATCGCTGGTGAGCTTGATGAGTCTACTCAGGGGACGGCTGCCTCAGCAGGTGCTGCTGGTGCCTCCAGTGCTGTTGTTGGTGCTGCTGATGCTGGTGCTGCTGGCGCTGCTGGTGCTGGTGCTGCTGGTGCTGCTGGTGCTGCTGGTGCTGCTGGTGCTGCTGGTGCTGCTGGTGCTGCTGGTGCTGCTGATGCTGCTGCTGCTTGTCCTCCTGCTGCAACGGCTGCTGGTGCTGCTGGTGCTGCATGTGCTGCTTGTCCTCCTGCTGCAACGGCTGCTGGTGCTGCTGGTGCTGCATGTGCTGCTTGTCCTCCTGCTGCAACGGCTGCTGGTGCTGCTGGTGCTGCATGTGCTGCTTGTCCTCCTGCTGCAACGGCTGCTGGTGCTGCTGGTGCTGCATGTGCTGCTTGTCCTCCTGCTGCAACGGCTGCTGGTGCTGCTGGTGCTGCATGTGCTGCTTGTCCTCCCCGTGCGCCCGCACTCGCTTCCCCGCGCACAGCTCGAGCCATCAGTTTTGAGTCGACTCAAAAGTCACTCTCACTGTCTCGCCGTGCCTCCTCACTCGCTTCCCCGCGCACAGCTCGAGCCATCACAATGAATCATCCTTCCAGGCCCTCCTGTCACCTTCCTTCTTCCAATCATCCTGTAACCATCTCGAGTCCCAACCAGACTCGCAGCCGTTTTGCAGTAGCTGAACTTCCAAGCGGATTGAGAGTTCTCCGGAGTGAGGGAGGGCAGGAGGGTGGGAGAGGAGGGAGAAAGGGACGTGCTCCATTTGTGGTGGTGCCGAGGCGCAGTGTGAACAACACGCGGAGCTTAATCCAAGTTTAAATTATGGTAAACTGCACGAATGGAGGCATAGGAGGGAGAAAGGTGCGTGCTCCGTTTGTGGTGGTGCCTAGGCGCAGTGTGAACAACACGCGGAGCTTAATCCAAGTTTGTAAACTGCACGAGCAGAGGCATAGGAGGGAGAAATGCGCATATAGCATTTGTGGTGGTGCCCAGGCGCAGATTGCATACGATCATGGTTGGCTGGATGTTTGCTCTTTTGTTCTTCAAAGTGTACAGTAAACGTTGATGTGTGACTCCTCCATACAGTAAGAGAACACATGTTAAATAATAAGCAAACAATAAATAATATTCTGTAGAATATAGGCAGCCACGTGTCATGGTGATATACGGTAACTATACCATGGGGGGTGGGGGAAAGCGAGAGAAATTACTCAAACAATAATTTGTGCGCAGGGGCATTACCACAAAGGGCGTGCGCGCATTTAGTTGATTTTTTAGGCGCCTCATCAATCAACTCAATGCTTGAGCAAGCTGCGCAGGGGCATTACCACAAAGGCCGTAGGCATCTTTCTCCCTCCTCTCCCCCCTCTCGCTTCCCCACTTGCAGTATGACATTTGAGTCAGACTAGAACTCATCCCGCCTGTGGATGATGCGCATGGGCATCACCACAAAGGGCGTGCGCGCCTTTCTCTCTCCTCTAGCCCCTTGTGCTTCCTTGCTCGCAGTGTGACGTTTGATTTTGACTAAAATTCATCCTGCCTGAGCAAGCTGTGTATGGGCACCACAAAGGGCGTACGAGCCTTTCTCCCCCCTCTACTCCCTCACGCTTCCCCACTTGCAGAGGCTTCCAACCCGCTCGGACAATCAGCTGCTGCAAACCTCCCGTGAATCTCTTTTTGAGGCGCCTCAAAACTAGCTTCTCTCCCCCCCCCAGCTTCCCCACTTGCAGAAGTTTCCAACCCGGTTTGAGGATCAGCTGCTGCGAGCCTCCCGTGAATCTGGTCACAGCTGAAGCTCTTTACGGGGGGCTTATCAAGAGGAAGGTTCCAGGAAGGCCTGGAAGGATGATTCGCTGAGATCATTCGAGGTGTGAGTGGGGAAGCAAGTGAAGAAGCACGGGAAGACAGTGAGAGTGCTGAAGCAGCTACAGCAGCACCAACAGCAGAAGCACCAGCAGCAGAAGCACCAGCAGCAGCAGCACCAGCAGCAGCGGCAGCAGCAGCAGAAGCAGCAGCAACAGCAGCAGCAGCAGCAGCACCTGCTGGGGCTGTTGTTCCCTGACTAGCCTCCACAGATTCACCAGCAATCTTATCAAAGATTGACCCTGCCGGCCTGCGAACGGCACCTGCAGCCGCAGCAGGAGGAGCAGCAGCAGGAGCAGCAGCAGGAGCAGCGGCACGAGCAGCAGCAGGAGGAGCTGCAGCAGAACGGAACGTGGAAGTTCGTCGCGGACTTGTAGCGTCAACAGCAGAACGGACGCCAGCAGAATGGATGTCTGCATGCCACGACGCCCTTCGTCTCATGGCCCAGTAACCGCCTCCTCCTGGTGACTTAGACCCCCCTGCAGATGCTGCACTGGCAGCAGCAGATGGGCTATCCCCTTCGTTTCCTGGGACAAGGTTTGGGCTGTCTGGGACAAGGTTCCAGGACACCCGCTTGCTGAGCCTTGGAGAAGCTGCGGTGGTGCTGGTGGGTTTCAAGCTGGAGGGGCGAGCAGAGGGGGATAGAGAGTCCAAAAGTGACTCTGACGAAGCTGCGGTGGCGCTGGCTGATTTGAGGTTTGAGCGGTGAGCGGAGAGGGATAGGGTCTCCAAAAGTGACTCAGAAGAAGCTGCGTTGGCGCTGGCTGATTTGAGGTTTGAGCGGTGAGCAGAAGGGGAGGCGGTTGTTGGCGAAGACGCTGTGGAAGTAGCAGGTGATTTCAGGCTGGAAAAGCGAGCAGCGGGGGATAGAGAGGCGGTGAAGGAATGGGGAGTGAGAGGGGATGGGGATGAGGGAGGGAGAGGAAGGGAGGGAGAGGAGGGAGTGAGAGGAGGGGATAGTGGGGGAGGGTGTGACTTTAGAGTCAACTTAGAAAGCGGCGGGGGGCAGTGGCTGGGAGAGGAGGAGTGAGCTGGGTGCGCAAAAGGCCGTGCTCCAGTTCCCGCTACCGTTTCTGCCACAGTTCCAGCCACAGTTTCTGCCACAGCATGCCCACTCTCAGCAACCGCAGCAACTGTATCTGTAGCCTTGACTCCCACAACGCCTGGTGACTCTACAGATTCCGCCGCTGCTTCTGCTGCTGCCGCCGCCGCTGCTGCTGCTGCTGCTGCTGCATCCGTAGCAGCAGAAACTGTCATCCGACCGGCAGACTCAGAGCTGTGATGCCCGTCGCTGTGGTGCTTCATCATGGAGGCAAAGCCATGATTGTGCAGCCACTCCTTGAAGTCATAACCGTGATGATGCCCGTCGCTGTGGTGTGTAATTATTGAGGCAGCATCGTGACTCTCTTTGTGACTCTGATGCCCGTCCCTGTGGTGCTTCATCATGGAGGCAAAGCCGTGATTGTGCAGCCAGTCCTTGAAGTCATGACCGTGATGCCTGTCCTTCAAGTCGTGACTGTGATGCCCTTCACTGTGGTGTTTCATCATGGAAACAAAGTCGTGAATGTGAAGCCAGTCGTGACTGTGATGCCCGTCCTTGTGCTTCATTGTCAAGGCAGCCTCGTGACTGTGAAGCCCCTCCTTGTGGTGTTTCATCATCGAAACAAAGTCGTGAATGTGAAGCCGGTCATGACCGTGATGCCCGTCCTTGTGCTTCACTATCGAAGCAGCATCATGACTGTCTTTGTGGCTGTGATGCCCGTCGCTGTGGTGCTTGATCATCGAAGCAAAGTCGTGAGTGTGAAGCCAGTCTTTGATATCGTGGCTGTGCAGCCAGTCCTTGTGTTTCACCATCGAAACAAAGTCATGAATGTGAAGCCAGTCTTTGTGACTGTGATGATGCCCGTCCTTCAAGTCGTGACTGTGATGCCCGTCCTTCAAGTCGTGACTGTGATGATGCCAGTCCATGTGTTTCACCATCGAAACAAAGCCATGAATGTGAAGCCAGTCGGTCATCGAAGCAAAGTCATGGCTGTGGTCGTGCCTTCCAGACCCACCTTTCACCCTTCCACCTTCTCCCCTTTCCCCTCCCCCGCCTTCTCCTTTTCCTTCTCCTCTTCCTCCTGCTCCTTTTCCTCCTCTACCTCCTCCATTCCCTCCCCGCCTACCAGACACCAACCCCGGAAGCCCATAGCTTTCGGGAGGAGCAATCAGCCTCCACACGCCCGTGTCCCTGAGATTCGTATCAGATTTGCTCTGGCGGATTTGATACGCCCCCCGGCTGGAGCTCGCGGCCTTGAACGGCAAGTCTGACCTAGACGAGGATGAAGACGAGGGACGGTCGGAGCTTGAGATAAGAGCAGATGGGGATTGCGAGGGAGAGGAAGAGGGAGACAAAGGAGGAGAGGACGGTCGAGAAGAAGAGGGAGGGGAAGAGAAGGGCCAAGAGGGAACCGGCAGGGCATTGGAGGAACGGGATGAAGGTTCAGGGCTGCGCAAATCCCTATTCTGCTGCTCCTCCTGCTCCTCCTGCTGCTGCTGCTGCTGCTGCTGCTGCCGCTGTTTCTCGGGTAGACGCGAGCTGCTGTGGAGTTTCTCGGGCAGATCGGAGCTGCTGTGGTGTTTCTTGAACAGGTGCAAGCTGCCATGGTGTTTCTCGGGCAGGTCCGAGCTGTCATGATGTTCCTCGGGCAGGTGTGGGCTGACTTGATGTTTCTTGAAAAGGTGCAACCCGCCATGATGTTTCTCGGGCAGGTGCAAGCTGATTTCATGTTTCTCGGGCAGGTAAGAGCTGTCATGACATCTCTTAAACAGGTGCACACCGTGATGATGTTTCTCAGGCAGGTGCGAACTGTCATGGTGTTTCTCGAGCAGTTGCGAACTGTCGTGATGTTTCCCGGGCAGGTGAGAGCTGTCATGGTGTCTCTTGAACAGTTGCAAGCCGTGATGATGTTTCTCGGGCAGGTGCGAGCCGTCATGGTGTTTCTCGGGCAGATGCAAGCTGTCATGGTGTCTCGTGAACAGGTGCAAGCCGTGATGATGTTTCTCGGGCAGATGCGAGTTGTCATGGTGTCTCTTAAATAAGTGCAAGCTGTGATGATGTTTCTCGTGGGGGTGCGAGCTGTCATGATGCTTCTTGAACAGTTGCAGCCTCCCATGATGTTTCTCGGGCAGATGCGAGCTGCCAGAATCTTTCTCGGGCAGGTGCGAGCTGCCAAGGAGTTTCTCCGTGCGTTTGAGAACAGGCTTGCGCAGAGTGGGGCAGAGGATGCGCCACGTGCTGTGAGCATGCAGCACCGTCTGCTCCGCCTCCTTTGCTTGCTCCGCCTGCTCCGCTTCCCTCGCTTGCCTTGCCGCCTGCTCCGCTCGCTCTGCCTCCTCTGCTTCCTCTTTTGACATCCCCCACTCGTCAGGTTCCTCCGCTCCTAACGTCACATGGCCGATCATCGAATCTCGACCGTCGATTCTTGAGCTCCGTATAAGGGCATTTCCCCCTCTGCTTCCGCCGCTTCCACCGCCCCACGCGCCCCTCCCCTGGGCCTTTGCTCTCAGATCCGCTGAGTCTTCAAGTCCGGATCTGCTTTCCCTTGCTTCTGCTGCTTCCGCGGGCGAGGTAGAGGGAGAACGGGGACTGGAGGAGAGACCTGAGGGGACGAGGGGCAGCGGGGAGGGCATGGGAGAATGCGGGGAACAGGGGGAAACGAGGGTCGCGGGCGAAGGAGAGTGAGAACAGAAACTGGAGGAGCGACCTGAGGGGACGAGGGGCAGCGGGGAGGGCATCGGAGAACGCGGGAAAGGGGGAGAACGAGGGCCGCAGGAGTGGGAGAAAGAGAGGAGCGGGGGGCGAGAGGAGGGAGAAGGGGAGGGGGGAAAGAGGCGGAAACAGGGGAGGGGAGGTCAGGGTAACCCCTTCGGACGCTAGTAGCATACGGAAGTAACCAGTATTGGCATACCTGGTGGCACGATTTCGCCAAAGAACTCTGTTTTGTTCGCCCACTCGCGAACGCGATCCAACAAATCGCCCAGGGAATGTTTCAGCTTGCCGCTCGTCACGAGCTCGTCGTCTGCTGCGATGGTTACAATCCTCCACGAAATCGGCATGCTGTTTCGCCCAGATCCCACCAGTCGCAGGGGCATCGCCAGCAGCGGCAAAACGTCGTACGCGTCGCCAGGGTCGCGCGCCTGCGACCCAATCTCCAGCGCCTCCAGCGGCGCGTTGTCGCACGCCGTTAGTAAGATCGAATCGCGGAGCTCCTTAACCGTTGATTCCGACTCCGAGTCGTCCTTGCGACCGTCCCTGCCCGAACCGCCAGATTCAGAATCGCCATGATCGTTCGCGGCATCCCAGCGGGAGAACATGGACATGGATTGCGACGCGAGCACGCACGTCTGCGGAAGTATGCCCAGATTCCACGGCGATGCTTCCAGTAGGAGCGCCGCCGCGGACGACGATTGCGACGACGATCGCGACGACGGCGACGGCAGCGATGGCGACGGCGGCGACGGCGACGGCGGCAATTGCGACGATTCGCAATCGGTCTGCACTTTGATACGCGAGCCGTCTAGGCCCAATACGATCGGCTTACGCTTTTCCCGCAGGAAGAGGGGGTCGTCGCGGCGCCGAAGCTTTTGGGTTCCGTGATCGGCGGAGGGGGACTTGGCGGAGCGGCAGACGAAGGAGAAGGTGGAGGTGGGGAAGGGGGAAGCGGGGTGTCGCGCGGAGGAGGGGGAGGAGTTGGCGGGAGAATGGGGACGCGGAGAATCATCGTGATGATGATGACGACGACTATGGTGATGATGATCGTCATCACTACTATCATGATGGTGATGATGACGGCGATGTTGGCGACGATGATGATCATCATTGTCATCATAATCGTGATGATCATGGCGACGACTATGATGGTGACGATCCTTATCATCAAGATGATGACCTAAATCCTCATCATCGTGATGATGGCGACGACTATGGTGACGAAAGGGCAGCCGTGCGGATAATCCGGAGCGGGAATGGGTTCTCGTAGGCGCGACGCGGGGAGGAGGCGGAATGAGGAGGATGTCGTGCCAGATGGAGGACACGTGATCGCCGTCGATTAGCGGGAGAATGCTCGTGGACGATCCGGCGGTCCGATTTGGCGCCATGACGATGTTGTAATAACGAGTAGTTATAGTGAGGAAGCAGTAAACCACTCGTGTGCTCCCGAAGGCGATTCGGACGTTCGCGGCGAACGTGGTGAATAAATCGCAAGGCGTATCAGGAGGAGCGGTTGTGCGGAGTCATATGATGAAGTACGAGGCTTCAATCCCGGCTTCTCATCCTCGGAGGCCTCTGAGAATAAGAGATTCTAGCAGCGTCGCGTTGGTTGGACGAATCGCGGCGATAGTTAATCGCAAGACAGGGCAGCAATGATACGACCGAGACCTCCCTCGTGCAGTCCGAAGATAGACGAGTTCGACCATAAAACCAGACGTCGAATTCAATCGCTATACGTCTCCTGAACGGCGCTTCCGCAAGATAACGCTCGCCGCTCGTCCCGGCCTCAAAATGAGCCATGCGGAGAACCAGCCAATCCCTGATCCCGGTACAGTAGTGCAGCATATGAGCAACTCGTGCTAAAAAACGCAGGCTACAGTGTGAGTGCTGGTCCTAGAGATTATTGCGCGAATGGGAGTTCTTAGCAAGGTGCATGACCCGCTCGATATGTCAGATCAGGAGTGATAAATGGCTAGGAAGGCGACTCGGCTGTTGCTTTCCCAAGTTGAGTAGTTCTGTGGTTTGTGAATGAAGGTCGAAAACAGCCCATTTCATCACAGGTTTACTATAAGCGGTTGGGTACGATGATGTGCAATTCGAAGTGGTATTCCTTTCATCCTACAGAAACTTCTTGAACATTCATGGCTACTGTACACTGACTGGGCTACACTGGCTCAACCCAAGAAGCAGGAATCTCCGTTGATTTCAGGGCTTTCCCAACTAAACATTTCCAATCTTTTGTCTCTCACGGTCATCTTGTGCTTGGATCACACCACATGAACTGTACGGTACGGAGGCCAAAAGTGGTCCCAAGGAAGGACCAATCACGAACCACCCAAAGGGCTGGAGACTAGACAAATTTTGGGCCAACATCAACGGCATGGAGATAGTTTCAGTGCGATTTTACAAATGTATGAAATAGTCGGCCATAGGGGAAAGAGGCTGACGGTTCGTTATCTGCCCGAGGTTAAAAAAACCCCGTCTGATGGCCTACGACTAGGGAAGCCTCAACCCTGAACAAGGGTAACCGCGTGGTAACCCGATGGGCCGACATTCTTCCTCCAACAGCGTCAGATTGAAGCATATGTAAACAAGCACTTGCATAATCTGCATGCAGTTGGTTTTTGTTAGAAACTGAAGTGTGAAAAAGGATCGTTCAGGGTTGATCGCAGGTAGTGTCGCAGCGGAAGTAGTGAACTCAGGTCAGAGTGAATGTAAATGACTGAGATTGATGATAGCATGCATACATAGGGTTTATATAGAAATACAAAGGAATGCGAAACGACCTAGACTAGCCATGTACTCTAAGGGGTACATTCCCTTATTGAAATTCAAATCGTGCGGCGCGGGAATCAGTTTCAAACCTGTTCCCGCTCTTTTCACTTCAAATGTTTCTGCCTGCATCGGTCTTGATCAGACGGTTGCTGTGTCGCTTCGATTCTTCTGACTCCTCGACTTCGTACTCGATAGAGTCGGCTCCTGCAGCATACAGGAATGCCTTCTCATAAAACTTCATATCGTAACACTCCCCTTCATTCCTGGACGCGAAGGGTGCTGACTCGCTTGACCACTCCGGTGAGGTCGGAGCAGTGCTTGAACTGCTGACGTGGCAGACGCTTGGTGAGGAAGTCGGCTGCCATTTCAGTGGTCGGGCAGTATGCGAGGTCAACTTTGCCCTGGTCGATTTCGTCCTTGACGAAGAAGTACCGTAGTGCGATGTGCTTCGTGCGGTTCACGAACCCAGGCTTGTTCGCGATCTTGATCGCGCTCTGGTTGTCGCAGTGCAGGCGAAAGGTGGGCGAAGTTGGAATTTTCGCCTCCTGTAGCAGCTCCTGCAGGTACAGACCTTCGCGAACTGCTGCTGTCGCGGCGATGTATTCAGCTTCGGCCGATGACAGGGCAACCAGTTCCTGCTTTTGCGAGTTCCAGGAGATGGGGCCAGTTGGCTCCAGGCGGAAGACAAAGCCGGTTCGGGACCGTCGATTCGCTGGGTCAGTGGCATGGTCAGCGTCTACGTAGCCGTTGAGGTTGAAGGATGTTGTTGACAGCGTGGAGTAGGAGAGCCCGATGTCAGGCGTGGAGATGAAGTACTGCAGGGCGCGCTCCAGGTCCAGCTGGTTCTCGGCTACTGGCTTGCGGGAGTACTGTGCCAGTTGGCTGGCGATGTACGAAAGGTCGGGTCGGCATGTGACAGATGCGAACAGCAGGCAGCCCAGTTGCTGCTGGTACAGTTGGAGTCCTGCGGGGGACAGAGGCTTGTTGTCCGGTTTGTAGTTGGTGCTGGGGTTGCGGTAGGGAGTTGAGAGTGGTGCGCGTGAGATGTTGAATCGTTCACCCAGCTGCTCTGCGTACTTCGAGGCTGACAGATGAATTGCTTCTGGCGCGTAGGTGATATTCAGACCTAGAAACTGAGTGACTTTGTGGTTGATGGTGATGTCCACGCGCTTCGCCAGGTTTTCTTCAAACTGGTTAAGAAGCGTGTTGCAGGTGCCAGTGTAGAGCAGGTCGTCGACGTAGACGGTGAGGAGGATGTAGTCGCCGTTGAAGTGAAGGCGGTACATTCCCGGATCGTGCGGCAGCTGCCTGAAGCCGATTTCGAGGAGAATTTTGTGCAGGTGCTACTGCCAGAGACGAGGCGCCTGCTTGATCCCATAGAGGGATTTCTTCAGCTGGCAGACCCTGGGGTCTCCTTCTCCGTAGGGTTTGGCTGCTCCACGAAGATGGTTGCGTCCACTAACGCATATAGGAATGCGTTCTTCACGTCGATCTGTCGCAGTGGCAGATGCTTAGCGGCCGCTATGGCGAGTAGGATTCTGACGGAGGTGTGACGGCTGACAGGAGCGAACGTCTGATCGAAATCGATCCCGTGACGCTGGTCGTAACCGCGTATGACCCATCGTGTCTTGAAGCGCTCGATGATTCCGTCAGCGTTGGTCTTGAGACGAAAAACCCATTTTCCGCTTAGCACCCTCCTCCCCTTCACTGCTGCACGATCGACGAGAACCCATGTATCACGCGACTCCAGTGCTTTTAGTTCAGCGTTCATAGCTGCACGCCACTCCTTGGCGTGAGGGCCGGTGAGGGCTTGGCGTGGGTTCTTCGGTTCGACGGCGCGAGCCATGGTGAAGACGGAGGTGTGGAGGCCGAGAAGTTGCAGGCCGGACATGTTCGTCGTTTCCGTGATGTCGGTGATGGGGACTTCCACCACGTCATCATCGTCGCTCTCGTGACCAGGTGAGGATGTGCTTGGTTCGGCGTCGCGGCGGGATGGTCCGGGCATAGGGGCGTCGTCGTTGTCGTCATCGTCATCATCCGTGCGAGGGCGAGGCGGGACGCCGGGATGATCGTCGGTGTCGTCGCGATCGAAGGCTGCTGCTGCTGCTTCATCCTCAGGAGACACAAAGCTGCGACCGCTGTTGACATAGCCGCGAGCTTGGTTGCGTGTGTCAACGGGAGTTGTATGTGGGCCCCGTCCTCGCTTGGGCGGAGCCGACTTCGTGGTCGGGTGTAGGGTGCAGCCGACCTGCAGCAGTGGGCGACTTGGTCGACGAGGTTGGTCGACCTGCACGGGGAGCCACTGCATGGGCGCCGACTTCGGGAGGGCGCCAACTTCGGGTGGTCGACCTGGGAAGTCGACCAGCCCTTCTGGTCGACCTGGGAAGTCGACCAGACCTTCTGGTCGACCTAGAGTGACGTCGACTTGGAGCTGGTCGACCAGGGGGTAGTGGTCGACCTGGGGAGGTCGACTGGAGGTGGCCGTCGACTTGGGAGGTCGACCGGCACATACCGGAGGCAGTGGTCGACCTGGGGAGGTCGACCGGAAGTGGTCGTCGACCTGGGTGGTCGACGGGCACGCACAGGAGCCTCTGGTCGACCTGGTTGCTCGGTCGACCAGGTTACCTGGGTGACGAGGTTCTGCGGAGGCATGCGACGTTCGCCCAGGTGGTTTTGGCGAGGACGACCTCGGTGATGGTATCCCGAGGTCGACGTGGTGCATCAGAAGCAGTCGTCAGCACGAAGTTGATGTGGTGTGTGCGCTGTGCAGGTGACGAGGCACTGCACGCCAATCATCTGCGAGCACCTGCGAAGTAGGTGCGCTGCTGTC